ACACACACACACACACACACACACACACACACACACACACGCCGCCCAGAATCAGGTGCATTCTTGAGGCACCACGGTGTCATTTCCTTCCTCCTTTCATTGTTAGGATTTGCATTTGTCATTGGTGTCACCTTGTCCCAGTTTTTTTTTCCGAGGATTACCTCACCGCTGCATTCTTTGAACCCTTCTGGCCTGACAGCTCCAATTTGTCATTGGTTACAGAGATTCTTGGACCCTGGGTTGGTCCACAGCCAAGGGATGGGGCTCATACTACACTTGAGCGTTGAATGTCCTCCCTGCCCATAACCGTTCGCCCTCCTCTGGCCCACATCCTGCTCTGCACTTAGGCCTCTCTGCTTGCTAACACAGAGGTGTCACTGCTTGCAAATTCTCCTAATGCGCAGCCAGGACATACATATGCATATTTGCCTGCTCAGACACAAGCATCCGTGATTATTTCTCTATATATCCATATGCATGTATAGCACTCTAATAAAGTCGCATTGCTGCCTGGACTTTCATCCGGTACCACGTGGCTCAATTGTGCCTTCCTGATTGCTGTCTATTCTTCCTCTGCCGGTTAAGAAAAAGCTGACTTCCCCCGTCCGTCACTCACCTGACCCCCATCCATGTGAACAGTTTCAGCCTGTGCCTGAAACAGTGGGAAACAACTCTACCAACCCCAGCACAGGCTTGTAAAAAGTATCATGACGTTCAGTCTTCACTCTTGTCCAAAGTTGCTCAGCCAGAAGCTTCTCCTCCACCTCCTAGGTTATATGTTTGATCTCAAATACCCCCTCCCCAAATTCATATTGAAAATCCACCCCTTCTCGATTATCTTAGGAAGATGGGTCAGAGAGGGGATTATACCAACAGGGTAGAACCTTTTAGAAAGCAATCAGAGCTTGTTCTAGTTCCATTTCACTACTGTGTTAAAGCACTCTGAACAAAAGCAACTTTAGGGGAAAAAAAAAAAAGAATGTATTTCAACTTCCCTTCCATCATTGAGGGAAGTCAGGGCAGGAACTCAAGTAGAGACTTGAAGCAGAGATCCTGGAAGAATGCTATTTGCTGGCTGACTTATAGACCCATGCTTGGTTAGCTTTCTTATACAGCCAAGGACCACCTCTTCTAGGGAATAGTGCCTCCCACAGTGGGCTGGACCCTCCTATATTAATTGACAATAAGGCAACCCCCACTGACATGCTCACAGGCCAGTCCAATCTGGTCAGTTTCTCAACTGAGATGCCTTTTCTCGGGTGATTCTAGGCTGTATCAAGTTAGCAATTAAGGCAGTGTTCTTAGAAAAAAAGAACTCAGAAGGGCCCCTTGCTTCATCTGCTACATGAAGACATGGTAAGAAGGCACAGACTAAAAAAATGGGTCATCATCAAACATGAACCTTTAGGCAATTTGAACTTGAACTTCCATGCCTCTAGACTACAAGAAATGAGTCATTGTCTATAAATCACACAGCTAATGGTCCTCCCTTACATCAGCCCAAATAAATAAAGGTGATTATAGCCAAGGTGGATGCTTTAACAACAATCTCCATTTCATCCTACATCCCACTGGCTACATCTCATTCAAGTCAAGGACAAGAGCCCTTCCATACATATGTGATGTACTCCATGAGCTATGCATGGAGTCAAGGGTTTATGGAGTGCAGTTTTGGGGCATCTGCCGTTAAGAGAGAAGGATAACTCTGGTGCCATCCCCTTCAGTGGGGCTGATACAAGCTGATACTTATAAAGCCCTTGGATACACAGCTCGGATGTCTAAAGCTGTCCTTGGGTATCAGCTGTCCCAGTTATCTCCCTCTTGGAATGAGAGCAATCTGGCTTGAGTTCCTGCTGTTTCAGCCCTTGGAATGCCTTCTTCTTTATCTTTTCTTGCTAAAAATAACAGCACATCCATTTGTGCTGAGTGGTTGACAGGAATGTTTTCTCTCATTCACGTAGGATCCCACTCAGGTCTACAGTTATTCCCTTTTTACCAAGGAAGAAGTTAAAAGACTCTAAGATGCTGCCCGTGACATATTACTAGAAAATGCTAGCACTTCAGTTCTTACCCTCTTCCACCATCAACTCACTATGCCAAATGCTGTTCACTTGCCAAGGCATAGCTCAATGGGCAGGTTCTGGGGCCTCATCCGGTGATCTCAATGGATAGGTAGGTTCTGGGGCCTCATCCGGTGATCTCAATGGATAGGTAGGTTCTGGGGCCTCATCCAGTGACTCTGGGGTTTCTTTTGCATCCCTGGAGCCCATAACCATTGCTAATTCGCCATGGCAGTCCTCTGGCTCAAACCCAGTAAAGGCAGGAAGGGAATAGCCTAAGCAGGGTACAGTTTTACACTCTTCGACTGAGCCATAGCCAGGATGTAGGCTGACCCTGTGAGCATTGTTGTCATAATTTTTGTCAGCTTGGCACAAACCTAGGCATACCTAAGAAGAAGGACTCTGTTGAGAAATGGCCTCCATCAGATTGGCCATGTTAGTGTGTATGTGTGGTGTTTTTTGTTGTTGTTGCTGTTGTTGTTGTTTTTTTGATTACCAATTAATGGAGGAGGACCCTACCTACTGTAGGTGGGACCATCTCTGGGCAGATGGGCTAGGGCTCTATGAGAAAGGCAGCTGAACTGAAAGATCACACCAGTAAGCAGCATCCCCAGTGATCTCTGCCTCAGTTCCTCTTCCCAGCTTCCTGCTTGAGCTCCTGCCTGGGCTTTCCTCAGAGATGGGCTGTCTTGATTACTGTTCTATTGCTGTGGAGAGACTTCATGAAGACACCCATAAAACAGAATATTTAATTGGGGACCTGCTTACAGGGATCCATATGTGTCTGAGGGTCTCCCCAGCATACATCATCCCTCTCCCAGTCAGTAACTACGGGGCACCTACTACATGCTGAGTTCCATTGGAACTCTGTGCCCAGAGGATAGAGCAAAGCATGTTCTCTGTTTCTAGGGCTTCTCCCCCATCAGGACAGTTAGATGAGTATTCCTGAGCATAGTGCCAGGAAGAGAAGAGGAGAGGGAAGCAGGGCAGGGCATGGACAGCCATATAAGGACTGGACAAGAAGGTGTGCTGCAAGGGAGTCATATTCAAATGAAGCCTGAAAGATGAGCAAGGACTTAGGAAGTAAAGGTGGTAACAAAGGCCACCAGGGACAAAGGGGAGCGCGAGTGTGTAGGACAGAAGCCATACATGGGCAAGCACTAAGAAGGAAGACAGTTATGGCTGAAGTAGAACAAAGTCCAAACAAGATGTTGGGAAGAGCAGCACGGCAGGCAGAGGTCACAACTTTTCACCATGGGAAAGTAATCATCTTTTTCCCCTACATTTAAAAACCTATTTAAAAAAAAAATCCCAGAATCGCTAGGTGGTACACTGCCCTAGTTCTCCTCAAAAGCAAGAGGTCATGCCTCTTACTCATTTTTCCATTACTGTAACAAAATATTTGAGACGATCAACTTAAAAGGAAGAAAGGTTTATTCGGACTCACAGTTTCAGAGGGTTTAGCTCATGGTTACTTGTCCCTATTGTTTTGAGCCTGTGGTAACACAGTCATGGAGGCTGTTCACATTATGGTGGCCAGGAAGTCAAGAGAGGCAAGAAGGATTTAGGTCCCTTCAAGGGCATGACCCCCCCCAAGACCTAACTTCCTGTTCCCAGGCATCACTTGATGAAGGTTCCCACACCTTCCAGTAGCACCACAAGATGCTAAAAGTCAAGCCTTACCATGTGGGATCTGGAATGGGGACACTGAGGCACCAAAGTTTGTGCCATTTTATCTGAGCAGCCTTTTTAAAATTTCGATTTTAATCCTGGGGGCTGGAAAATGGCTCAGCGGTTAAATACATTTTATTACTCTTACAGAGAGCCTGGATTTGCTTCCCAGCACCCACATGGCGGATAATAGACTTCTGTAACTCCAATTTCTGTGGGTCTGAATCTCTCTTCTAAGCTCTGTGGGCATTACACTACATGGAGCACAGTGTGCAAACAAAACACACACATAAAAAAACCCATAAAATAAATAAACAAAAATATAAGTAAACAATTTAATCTTTAAATTTCAAAAACATTTGGCAAACAGTACACAATATCTAGGAATAAATAAATCAGTCGGCATTAATGAAAATTACAGAAAGAAAAATCAAGTTGAGGACAGGCTACAGATCCAAAAGTAATGCTGTGTATATTATGGGCCAGAGGTTTGAAACAACATCTGCTAACCACCAAAGTGAAGAAGAAAAGCAGATAGATTAGTGACAGAGATCCCTAATATCCTCAATGTGATCTGTTCTAACCCAGGAGAACCTCCATCTCTGGAAACTGGAAGGCTAACACAGGTTCTGCCATGCTGGAGCAGGTGGCCATGACGGAAAGGTAAGAGACAAAGGTTCTCTGGAGCAAGGCACCAGCATCCATGAGAATGGCACTCCAACTTCTGACCAGTGTCCCATAGAGCCATTCGCCAGTTCGCTGTCCCTTATGGTCAGCAGCGACAACAGGGCACCTGCCAAAATAATGCTTACAGATGATAAGATTTCAGAGAAGGGAAGTGGTTTGCCCTGTGTCCCAGAGGTAGGAGAGGAACACTGAGATCCTGGCTTCAAGTCCAGAGACCTTCTGGGTCCTGCCCTGCTGCCTCGGTGAGAGACCGAAGCCTTCATCAGTCCCCAGTAGCTTGCAAGTAACTGGGAGAAAACATTTGTATTAAAACATAAAAAATGCATATGGGCCTTCCTCAGACCTTCTGAAGAAGGAAAAGCCAGTTCCCCATAAATTGTGTGTACTCTGGGGTGCACTGTAGCTGAGGGACCTACAGGTCTTCTTCCCGTCAGGCACTGTTTTGTGACCTTCTCAGTTGAGAGAGGTCTAAGCATATGCTCTCTGAACCAGTCACACTCCTTCCCTAGGAGTTCACTGAACACTGCCTGCGAGCATGCAGCAGCAGTGGCCAGAGCATGCGCTCTATGGTCAGTAAACACTGAGAGCCTACTGCATGTTACAGTGTGCTGAGCAGAAAAGCGGCCACGGCAAAGAGCGCTGACTCAATTCTCTCCTCTGAGAACCATGGGTCATCTGTAAGCATCAGAACATAGCTCATTAGTTTGAGCTTTGGGGATGTAGCTTTTGTTGATGAAAACTCAAGAGGCATGCTTTCAGGAGAGACCTGAGACCCCATCTCCGTTGATATCATTTCTTTCATGGCTGTGTCTGTTCAAACTTCTCCAACTATGGTTCACAGCGTCACTAGGCTTAAAGTCTCAGGGTCAAGTCCGACAGAAAGAAACCATCTTTTCCCGTCATTTCAGCCACAGCCTGAAATGGAACCTTATTGACTGCTTAGCCAGGCTTGGGATCATAGGATCATCCCTAAGCCAATCATGGGCTGAGAAGGCTGTGGGATTGTGTTTGAGTAAACCTATGGCAAGTTATGACTCTAGAGGCTGGAGTGGAGCCTTCCTCTGTAGCAACAGTGGCTGAGTCCCAGGAAGGATGTAATGCCACACACTGAGAAGTCTTTAGTAGGAAGGAAAGTAATTGCCCCACCTATGTTAAAGACAGCCACCTTTCCCCACTTGTCTAAGGGATGACACAATTGCAGATGAACACAATAATGTTAGGGCGGCATGAGCCTTGAACACTTGTAGAAGAAAGAAGGAGAAGGGGCACCCAGTGAAATTTAGGGAAGTAGAGACCAGAGCGTGGTTCCTGAAGGTCTAGATACCAGCTTGAATGAGTGGGCCCCTGAAGGAGCTAGCTTTTGTTTCATCTCAACAACAATGTCACAAGCAGTCACTGTGCTCTAGTTTTAGAGCTCAGCCTTGGAGAAGGTGGTGGGGAAGAGAGACATTAGCCCCGCCCCTTCAGTTCAGGGTCTGTCTATAAGCTCAGGAAGCCAGATGAACCAAGGTGAGTGCCTGCCCCTTCTAGATAAGCTAACAGACAGTTCTGAACTTGTTCTGAAAAATGAAGGCAAATCTGCATGCTGTTAGAAAGTCTAACCACAGCACAGGCCCCTGCCAGCGTGGATACCTGCCTCTCTTAGCAGGTCCAGTTAGGAGATGCCAGCTTCCATCTGGGAACTCCCTTGTGCTCAGCTAATCTTGTGAGGTTGTGCCCGGGCGGGGGCATTCATGGACAGCCAGTGCCCTCTTCTTCATGACTCTTGCAGTCATGAAGGCCTCTCCCTGGCCTCAGAAGTTTATGGTGGGGACCTCCAGCACATCACCATCCTGTGGCTCTGCTCTGTCTCAAGCCACAAGGATGCCTCCAACAGGAACCTGGAAGACAGGACAGGGTCTGCTCAACCTAACATGCATTGTCCCTCAGACAGTCGTGAGTTGTGCCCATGTCCTGGACAGAACTCCTTCGTCTCATTCCTATACTTCCAAAGTCTCTGGAGCCCCTTAAGCAGTCCCAGGCCCTCCATGGTTCCTGAATAATTCATTCCATTTGATTAGTGCTAGTCTACCTGGTTGAAGGGAGGACCTTTCCCATATTTCCTGGCCCCTGGGGTTTCTGGTCCTGGGGTGATGCACACACATAGCTTAGATGTCCACTGTTTGAAAAAAAACCTTTGGAAACTAGTTGCCTCCAGTCCTAAGTCTAGACTTGTATCTCTCTTGGGAAGAACCTGACTCATAAGTGTGTCTCAGGCAAGGTGCTCCTTGAGCATGTTGTGTCCCATTAGTCTGCACCAAATACAGTAACTCTAACACCTGGCTCCTGAAGCCTCTCAGGATGGGGTTCCATCCCCAGATCGCACATTTAAAGCCCCAAGTATCAATGTTGTTGCCAAATGTGGCTGTGCATCAGTCAGAGCATTGTAGCAGCATTGAGAATAGGTGGAGACCACCCAATAACTCAGGGTAGAGTCCAGAAGCTGCCCCCTTATCTGTACAGGGGCTGCATTATCTTTGGAACCCCAAACACAAGAAGCATCAAATGAAGGAAACAGAGGCACCGGAAGGAAAGGCTCGTCCAAAATCACCGAGAAACTAATAAGAAACATTCAGAACACAGGCCAGGGAGGCAGGTCAGTCCAGAAAGCACTTACCACTCAAGAATGAGGGCATGGGTTCCATCCCCAGATCTCACATTTAAAAAGGCAGGCGGGTATGGAAGAATGCAGCTGTGATCTCAGCACTGGGGGAGAGAGAGAAACAAGAGGATCCTGGAGCTCGCTGGCCAGTGAGCTCCACATGGAATGGGAGACCTTGTCTCATAAATCAAGGTAGGGGGCTCCTGAGGAACAACACCCAAGGTTCACTTTGGGCCCTGCCACTCATATGTGCAATTTGTGCATACATGTGCTCCTACCCAATATGTGTTCTCTCTCTCTCTCTCTCTCTCTCTCTCTCTCTCTCTCTCTCTCTGTGTGTGTGTGTGTGTCTCTCTCTCTGTCTCTCCCTGTCTCCCTCCTGTCTCCTTCACTCTCTGTGTCTCTCTCTCCCTGTGTCTCTCTTTCTCTCTCTCTTTCTCCCTCTCTCTGTCTCTCTGTCTCATCTCTGTCTGTCTGTCTATCTGCCTCTCTCTCTCTGTCTCTCTGTCTCTCTGTCTCTCTCTCTCTCTCTCTCGTCTCTCTCTCTCTCCCCAGTTCCTCCATGTCAAGTAAAAACAGACACACTGTGGCAGGCTCCAAATGAAGGGAAGGAGGTTTGCTTACTACCTGGACACAGACACAATCTGGGACTGGAAGCCACACTGTTAGTTATTACTCTCTTAGCCTCAGCGTCTTCGCCTGAAAGCAATGAGTTCAACCCTCCCTCCTTGATTGATCAGTTTGAGCTAGAATTAGAAAGAATGAGGAGTTAGCCTGTCAGGCACAGTAAGGGGTCTTTATCCTGCCTTTTACTCCCAGCTCGCCCCTGGCTGCAGTTGGATCTCTCAAACTAGGGTTGGGTTCCAGTTGGAGATCTAGGTGACCATGACCATGTTACTGCCCTGCTGCATAACCTCAGAAAGAGACCTTCTCTCTAGGCCTCAGTGGGCCCTGGTGGATACAATCAAAGAGTGGGTTCTTAGAAATTGTCAGCCATGCTCCCTCCTCATTCCAGGTCACGTGGCTCAAACACACAAACAGATCTGAGAGCTGAGTGTCCTGCACGACCTCAGAGAGTGGGGAGAGAAGCGAGAAGCAGGGACATTAACACAAAGTCCCCTGTGGCCACCAAATCTAGTCCACAAGGAAAGCCAAGTGCATGCCCAGAAGATCTCCCCAGATACAACCAACCCCTTGTCTCGGGGTCAAAGTTCACAGCCCAGATCTGTCCCCAGCAAAGCAAACTGGCCCTGCAGCCGTCAGTCACTGGAATAGGAACAAAAGCAATTGGTCCAGAAGGCCAGGCCCCCAGGAAAGTCAGGAGCTGTCTGAAGGAGCTCCCCTGCCCCCACATCCCTCCCACCCCAACTCCAGGAGAATGAGATCCTTTGTCCCCCACAGGCTCTTGTCTGGCTGGGGCTCTGAGCAGGGAGTGTAGCCTGGAGGGATTTTTAGAGTCCTTCAAGCTGCTTTCCCAAGGGAAAAGGAGTGCAGGGGTGGCTGGGTGTAGGGATGGCCCTGGATGGGGGCAAGGCAAGCTTCCTGCTGCTGCAGAGTCAAGGTCTGGGGACAACAGCCAAAGGGTGTCCATGGGTCTCCGAGACCTCCTGGTTCTTATTCCTTCTCTTCTTCATCCTCTGTCCCTGCTTCTTGAGTGCCCCCACTCCTTGGTCTTCCTTCTCTGTCTCCCTCTGACCTCTTGCCTTGCTTCTTACCCCATGCTCACTGTCAGTCTGTCTGTCTTTGCAGGTACAGGCTCTGGGTGGACAGCTGCTCAGAAATGTTCGGTGGCCTAGACATATGTGCTGTCAAGGCTGTCCACAGCAAGGATGGGAGAGATTATATCATCGAGGTGAGGAATGGAGCAGGAGGGTCCAGCCTGGACCATCCCAGAAGGAAACAGTTCCTAGCTGACCAACCCCCAGCTCTGGCCTGCCGCACATAGCTCAGGGCTTAGGGAGTCACCCAGAGTGCTTCATGCACCCACCTCAGCTTCAGCAACATTGGGAGCCTTCCTGCTCAGCACTCTGACCTCAGAGTCCAGAACTCGGGGCGCAGTTCTTCCCAGCTTATCAGGCTAAGACTCATGGGTACAATTCTGTGCCCATGTCCAGTGTCCTCAGTGTTCAAGGACATGATGTGAATGCAATTCCCTTACCACCATGCAAGGTTCTATCCTTAAGTTCTTTCAACAAACGTGGGCCCGAGAGGATTCTTTAGGCCAGGTACTGGGTAATTCCGAGACACAGTCTTGAGCACAGCAAAATTAGCAAGCTGCAAGAGAAGATAACATTAAAAAAATTGGGGGGGGCAAAGCATTGTTAAGCAAAAGGTCACCCATTGTACAGAGTATAGCTGGAGGGACAGATGCAACTGCCAGAAACAGAATTGTAAGAGATTCAAAGGTGGGCACTGGGATCCAGAACCGCTCTAAGGACCCCTTCTGCCGCCCATGCATCCCACAGTATCCTCTTCCCTCTACAACCCCTTCCTACTCTCCTCAAGGGCTCCTTCTCTCTCCTCCAGCTCCCAGCCTCCAGAACTTCTGCAGCTTTAACCTGAAACTCCCTGGTGGCCTCAAGGCTCCCCTCCAATCTCAGCTACCTGCTCAACAGTCATATATGGTTCTTTCTGCCCACTCCTTCCATGAGGCTCACTTCCCAGCCCATGAGGCAAGCAAGGGAGGAATGGGCTGACACTAGGCCAAAACACATGAGGGGAGCCTCGTGGCCACCCTTTCCCTGCAGCTGTGTGGGCTGCTCTGAGAGGCACATGGCTAGGATGACCACAGTAGCCAGTCAGTCCTCGAGTCCCTCATGTCTGCCCCACTGCCCAATGACCAACAGGCAAAGAGCATCGGGTAACTGAGTGGGTAGGAGTTTGGCACCTTAGAAAGGCATACCAGCAGGTCAGGGAAGGGCTGCCTTGGCAGTGGGGGTTAGGGGAGCGGAGAGCCCAGGGCCAGAGACAGTCTCACTAGCTGGCTCACCAGAAAGGCTGGATGCTACCACCAGTAAGTGGCATCTATATGTAGGATCCTATCCTTGCCTCAAGTCGGGGAATACCCTTCTTCTGACTATTCCCAGAACAGAAGTGAGTTGAGGGCCTCTTCACCTGGGACATTAGCAACTCCTGGCAAACCACCCAGCATCAGCTTTCCTCCCTAGGACGCTAGACATGACTCTGGTTCGGGCTCACACACATTCATTTCTTCACTCTGGGCACCGGGCTTGAAGCCAAATGAACAGGGCTCAGATGGGGTAAGGGAGTAGAAAAGGGCTGCTATCCCGTTAGGAATGAGGACCAAGGGCAGAAGAGATGCCTTGTAGCCAAGATCTCTCATTGCTCTTGCAGAGGAGCCTAGGATTGGTTCTCAGCATCCACATGGTGGCTCACTGCCATCTGGAATACGTGTGTATGTACATACATGCAAGCAAAACACTCATACAAACAAAATAAATCTTTAAAAAGTGAGAAGAAAAACATGAACTGTTTCCCTCCTCTTTCAGTTCAGCACCGCACACATACCTACATACACACATACATAAATACATACACATGCACAAACATATACAAATATATACACACATACATACAAACATACACATGAACACACATACACAACAAGCACACATACACACATATATGTATACATTCACACATGCACACACACATACACACATACACATGTACACATATATACACACATGCATATACACAAACATGCACACACACACACACACATGACCTCTAGCCTCTGACATCCCTCCACTTTCACAAAAATCTATACCCAGAGGCCCCAGTTCCAGACACTTGGGGTTAGGGGTGAGGTCAAGGATGAAAGATGCTTCACATGTAAAAACAAACAAACAAAGAAGTCAGTTTGGGTCTTCTAAATATAAGAAAACAACTTTTCAAAAATGTTCCAGAAAAATCTCAATAAAACAAAAAAAAAAAGATGGCTTTTAGATTTGGGATTTTTTTCCCCCCTCAGAAACATTAGAGAAATGTTTTCCTTTGAGGTTTGGGATGGAATCAGGAAGAGAGGAAGTCTGTTCCTAGGAATAGAAATCCACTGTCTCCCAGTCACCTCTGCGTGAGAGCACAGGGCCTGCATGGCACATTCAGTGAGGGCGCTTAGGGGAAACACCCTGAACCTGGTCCTCTTTGACCCGGCCCAGAGGATGACCTTGCTCACTGGGAAAAAAATGTTTCCCTGGGGAGAGTGAGTGTCCACTTCCTCTGGCTGTGTCCACTGTGGGGACTCCAGTTCCTGACCTCTGGCTCCTTGTCATGTCTGTTTTCCACTGCAGAGAATGTGGGGGGACATCCAGGGCAGAAAGCAGTGGGCAGGGTGTGAGGGATGAGAGACAGGCCAGGCTGGGAGCCCAGGACCTTTGGGGAAACCGGTGATGGAGACTACCTGTGACCCTGGCAGGACAGTCACCTCAGAGAGCTCCATTTAGGGACAGTTTGCAGGACCTTCTGGGACCCATACCCATGCCCTGGTTTGCTTTTTAGTCCCTGAGGCACACTGGGCGCTTGTACCCACCGTCCCGTGAAAGCCACTGCCAGGAGGGTCTTAGCAGCTGCTGGAACCCTTAGTTTACAGTTGACAGACACTAGACCCAAGCAAACCCATAGCAGAACACAGACCTGGAACCCTGACTGCCGTATCCAAAGTCTCACCACTGAGCCATCCAATGCTTGGTGAGAACTTCCTGTCTGACCCTCATCACTCTGGTGATAATAATCAGAGTATTCATAAGCCTCAAAAACCTGTTGTTGTGAGACAGGGTCCCATGTAGCCCAGGCTGCCCTCAACTTCAATATGTAGGAAGACGTTGAACGTCTCATGCCCCTGCCTCCACCTTCTGAATGCCGGAATTATAGGTACTGGGGATGGAAGTGAAGGCCCCAAGCATCTTACCAAAAAGCCCAGCCCTGCAGAGTGTTGCTTTAAGATACCTGGTTCTTAGAATATATATCATCATATATCATCAGCGCTTAGTGAAATTGTACTATCAGGGCCTTCCCAGGGTGAACAACAGGCTTACCCCTTCCTCCAGGACACAGGCCAGCCCTGACTTCATGGGCTTACGGATGGCAAATGATAGTTCTGAGACTAATTTTTCTAAAGGGACAGCTACGTGAGCTCAGCAAAGACCCAGGCACAGAGGGGCTCCTAGGAAGTTGTGTGGTCCCTGAGGGGCTTCTAGAAGGAAGGGCTGACTAGGTGTTTCATGACGGATAAGGAGTTAGCCAGGTGACTGAGATGGGGAGGAGGTACAGAAAGTTGGGTACAGAATCTGGGAATGAGACTGTATGATTACCCTAGAGCTAGCCAAAGAGGGTTTCACAGAGTGAGGCAGGTGACGGAGGGAGACTGGGCTCCTGCAGATGGCCAACACAGCTCTGTCACAGGTCTGCCAAGTCTTTGTGTTCCCTTAAGACTGCCAAACTGCCTGCGCCTAGTGTTCAGCTAGTCCACTGGCCTATCTATCACTAAAGTAGACTAGCCCAACATGACCTCCCAGGGCTGCCATTCCTCTTCCCAAAGAACAGCCTGGTTTCGAGGGTGTTTCCATTTGAGCCTGCATCCTGCAGGGTCCCAGAACAACCCTCTGTCTTCTTCTGTCTTCTCTATGAACCCTGGGTCACTTCCAGCCTATATCAAAATTTTGGTTGTTGTTGTGATGGAGCCCCCACCATTGCTGTTTCCAGCTCTGAGGATATTTTCAACCTTAGGGGGCCAGTTCCAACCCTGGGAGGAAATTCGGGTGGGAAATGAGGGGGTGGAGACCAACCCCCAAATCAAAATACAGAAAAGGTCAGGCATGCTACCCTGGCCCTGGTCACGTTGCTGGACTCCAGCATGTGGAGGCTGAATTGAACTGAATCCAGGAGTCTGTTGAGAAAGAAACAGAACTGGACAACAAGGAAGAGGCCAGCTGGGCTGTTTGCATGGAGGACATTGCCACCTAGTGGTCATTCCTTCCTGAGCCCAGAGTCAACACTCCTAGAACAGGAAGCCAGGTCAAGCCATCTTAACTCAGAGTCATTCAGCCTCCTTTCCCTCCTCCCAGGTCATGGACAGTTCAATGCCTCTGATTGGAGAGCATGTCGAAGAGGACAAGCATTTAATGGCCGACCTTGTTGTCTCCAAGATGAGCCAACTCCTGGTGCCAGGGGGCACGGTGCCCTCACCCCTGAGACCTTGGGTAAGGTTCTCTTGAGAACAAAGAAGGTTATGGAATGAAAACCCCCAGGGTTTATTGGAGATAACCCCAGGCAGGCATCATGGGGGAGAATGGGATGGGGACAGAGGAGCGCAGGGTCCCCTTTCCACCTCCTATGCCCTGGGAAGAAAACTCCAGTTCCATGAGCCTTTGCCCATACTGTTGACAGGTGTTCATCTCTGTGTCTCCATCTTGGGCCTGAGCTTGGGTGTGTGCAACTGTGTATGTAAGAATGCATGTACATGTATATCTTGTGTTCCCAGGGCACAAGTCTATAAAGACTGTAATGTCTCTTGCTTCTCCATCCCCCAACCCAGCAAGCTCCTACCCCTCCCCTGCATAGGCCCCACTAGGGACTACCAAACCACTCATCACAGAATTTACAAGCTTGCCAGCCTTCTGGAAAAGCTAGTTTCAAATCCTCCCCCAACCCCAATCCCTGTTTATCCCATAGAAACTCATCCCTTTATAAACACAGGAGTTGTAGTTAAACTCAAGGGGCTTCTAGGAGGGCGGGGGTGTATACAGCATTCCCCATGGCTATGCCGAAAATCTATACACTGAAGAATCATACATCGTGTGTTTTACATCAATGATATTTTGAAAAAAAAAAATGTATAAGGCCTCGACTCCCACCCAGAAATTCTGTTGCCACAGGCTTCCTTTCTCTTCTCTTGCTCTAGGGTCCACAGACTAAACTTGCAAAATCTCCAGGGCAAGGCCAGATGGGACCTCAGCTAGGACAGCCCCAGCCAAGGCCACCTCCCCAAGGTAAGACTCAGGAAGCCACTGAGAAACGTTCTATCAGCGTGGATGTCGAAATGCCAGGCAGAGGACTAGGGAGGGGGCTCAGCAGGTAAGAGCACTTGCTGTGAAGATGTGAGGACCTAAGTTCAAATCTCCAGCACTCAGGGAAATCAGCTAGGCACAGCGAAACATGCCTGTAGTTCCAGAACTAGGGGAAGGGAGGAACAGGCAACTCTTGGTAGCTTGTTCACCAGGTAGTCTGGCGGAAATGGCAGGCTTCAGGTTCAATAATAGATGCCATCTAAAGCAGTGGTTCTCAGCCTGTGGGTCATGGCCCCCAAGGGGTTCGCATACCAGATATCCTGCATATCAGCCATTTACATTACAATGCATGACAGCAGAAAAATACAGTTATGAAACAGCAATGAAATAATTTGGGGGGGGGGGTCACCACAACATGAGGAACTGTATTAAAGGACCTCAGCGTTAGGAAGGTTGAGAACCACTGGTCTACGGGGCGTAATCTAGGAAGCAATAGAGGAAGACACTCAAGGTCCTCTGACTCTGCTTGCACGTCCAAGGGTGTGTGCTGATGCACAGAGTAATTAAATAATAATTGAAACAATAAAACCACGTTGCTGGAGACCATCCAGAGCAGTAGCCCTCGCCCTTTCTAATGCTACGGATTTAATACAGTTGCTCATGTTGTCGTGACCCCCCAACCATAAAACTATTTTCTTTGCTACTTCATAATTGTAATTTTGCTACTGTTGTGAATCATAATGTAAATTATCTGTGGTTTTTGATGGTCTTAGGCGACCCTGGTGAAAGGGTTACTCATAACCCCAAGGGGTCACAGCTGGTCTAGACAGTCCATCCTGACACTTTATCTTCTTGCTTTGAACACTCCCTAGGAGGCTGCTGTCCCCTTAAGGTCAGGAAGGAGTTAGAAAGAGCGAACAGCGGGACTGTCGAGTACTTTAGGGCCGTTCCTTTCTGTGCTCATTTCTATCCGCCCAGCCACTTTGCAGAGGAAGCCTCAGTGTCTCCCTTTTCCCAAGTAGGAAATTGAAGCTTTGCCCAGGAAGGCACAGTGAGAAGATGGCAGCTTTACAGGCCTGGACTTTCAAACCTTCTGGTTACAATGTTATTTGTAGCCTCTAGTGGTATGCCTGAGCATACATTTTCGAGCCAACCAGCCGGAGTGAGAAAGAGAAAAGGAAGACACCCAGATTATACCCGCAGCTGCTGACATTTTCCTCAAAGCCGCGGCTTGTTAGAGGGTGAATCCTGGCTGGATAACAAGAGGAGGAAGGATCGTGAGAATAGCTACTGATTTATTGGAGGGAGGTCAGGTGTAGAGGGTTTCCCACATGCGGGCTCAAGGGGAGCACCTGCCAAGCGTGACCCTTGTAGGAGATCCGTGTGCTCAGCCTGGCTGCTCTGGGCCAGCTTGGGTTTCAGAGCAGTTTGGCATGGAGATTGCCTTCTCTCAATCTCGACAGAAGCCGTTTCCATCCTGTCCTGGACTTTCTACTCGTATCTATTAGAGATTCATTGCTTCTGGGCAGCAGATGGTCTCCTCCTCTTCCACAGCTCTGGATGAAAGAGGCCCCTCCTCTTCCCCTCCTGCCTCCCTTTCAGCCTTCTCTCTCCTTCCTTACTTTCCCCATTACTTCCTGTACTTAACATAACCCTCCAGATGAGTTTACTTTCTCATATAAATGCCTTTGAAATTGACAACCCAAATGCATATACAATAATCAAAAATATATTTAACTGTGGACTAAAAGTTACCATATTTGTCAAAATACCAGTTAGGTTGGCGTTTTAATCATCAGTATCTGCGGTCAGTCTTCTCGAAATATAACAAACAAGGCCTGACCTGATGAGTTTCAGCACAAAAGAAACTGAGGCAGGAGGATTGCTGTGAATTTCAGGCTATTCTGGACTATCAATTGAGTTTAATGCCAGGCCAGCCTGGACTATAGTGTGAGATCCTGTCTTAAAAGAGGCTGGGGAGACAGCTCAGTGGGTAAGTGCATGCCTTCAGAGCATGAGAACATGGCTCTGAACTCTGGCACCCACATAAAAAAATAAATAAAATAAAACCTGAGTGTGACAGAGTAATCCTAGAGATGGAGAGATGAAGACAGAGGGAATCTCTGAGGCTAGTTTGTCAGTGAAACTACTTGGAGAGTTTTACCAATGTCTAAAAATAACAGTCAGAATCACATTATTAATTTGTTTTGAACTCATTTTCAAATTCAGTAAACATGAAGTTTTCTTTTAATAAATTTTATCTTTTTAGGGTCAATTCTGTGCATAGGAAACTATATGTATGTATGTATGTATGTATACATATATATAGTATATGCTCAAATAAAAAATACTAAGTTGATTGCTTTGCCAAAAAGCTGTAAGAAACAACCAAGTATCTCCCAGTGGATCCCAGTGGTAAAGTAGAAACACATGAAATACTCAATGAGTTATTGAACAAGGACACAAATTTTCCAAGATAGCATCAACGAGGGTTGGGGGTGGAGGGCTTAAGATAAAAGGAGAAATCAGATGTTTTGTTTGATCTGCACTGGGTGGAGAAAACAAAAAAGCATACAAAAATCGTGACACTTTTACTTAAAGCCTGGATTTTATCTTAAGTCTCCCACCCCGACTCCTGGTCAATCTTTAGCGTCTCTGGAAAGCTCCCAACTGTGTTCCTACTCAGTATCCCCTGGTGGTTAGTAAGGGCTGTTGCCATCTGCCTCGGGCCCTTGCTCTTCCCTCCCTCACTTCCAGAGACAAGAGTCCGTCGGTATTTTCCTTATGTTTACCCCCTTTAGAATGAGAGCGAGATCTATGTCTTATACCAAGAGGGAATTAAGTCTTGGTGTCTCAGATAGTGTCCCATTCTAAACAGACTAGATGAAACTCGCTGTATAGCCAAGGCTAGCCTCAAACTTGACACAGTCCTCCTGCCAAAACCTCCTGAGTCACTACACTTGACTCCACATCTTCCTGCTTACCTCTTCCTTTTCATATAAAGACTCATACCCACTGCATCAAAACCTCACCCTATGACCTTTAACCTTCATTACCTCTCTAAAGTCCCTCTCTTCAAATCCAGCCACATTGAAGGTTAGGGCATCAACATTTGAATCTAAGAAAGCATGTTTCTGTCTATTAACACCACGCCAAATCCCTAACATGCTGCAGTTGCCCCCACAAACCCATCCATACGTGTGAGACCTGCCTGTTCTAATGTGCAACTTTCCAGTGTTTCTTTATTACATTGCTCTATACATTAGTGCGCAATGAGAAACAAATACACATGACCTTATAAATGGCTTTTTCTCCTTCCGCTTAGTGGTGTGCACGTGGCACATACTGTCAAGAGGTCGGTTAATGTTACCCTGACACAGCACATGAAAATCAGCCCATACTCCACCATCTAGATGCTTTCTTGTGGGTATTTTTGTTCTGGCACAGGGTCTTATGCAGCCCATGCTGGCCTTGAATTCTCTGCATCATCAAGGATGACTTTGAACTCCTGATCTTCTTGCCTCTGCCTCCTGAATACTGGAATTACAGGCAGGCACCACCATGCCTAAGCAGGCTGGGAATCAATTATAGAGCTTCGTGTATGCTAGACCAGCACGTTACCAAGTGAACTGTGTCCCCTGCCATATAGCTGTTTCTTGACGTTCCTAACCATCTCCCTCAGACCTAGCATCTATGTTGTTTTCAGTTATGAAAAACTTGTCTATAAAAATGTGTGTTAAGCGCACAGCTACATTTATTCCCAAAACAAATTAAAATTTAACTCTTTCTTTGACTTCTAGGGGGCCCTCGTCAAGCTCAGTCTCCCCAGCCTCCCAGATCTAGAAGTCCATCCCAACAGAGGCTTTCCCCACAAGGCCAGCAGCCTGTGAGCCCTCAGTTAGGATCTCCACAGCAGCAAAGGTCACCAGGCTCTCCGCAGTTATCCCGGGCATCTGGTGTCACTTCTCCAAACCAGGCCTCCAAGCCATATCCCCGGCCACCCGTGCAGGGCCGCAGCACCTCCCAGCAGGGTGAAGAGCCCCAAAAGTCAGCACCACCTCAGCCCCACCTCAAGTAAGTATCTGAGAGTCTGAATGGATATCGAGGAGAGTTAGAGTATATCCAAAGATGAGCTGATTCAGGATCAGGAACAAAGAACCTACCAAAGCCTGGCCGAGAATCCAAGGTCCAAAAGTGGACCTATAGGGTGGCATTTGTGTAGCAGGGACCGCAGTTTGAGGGTACAGATTAGGCTCCACCACGTCCTCATGACCCTATATCGGTCATCATTTGCTGTGTAACAAACAAATGTCAATTTATGTAGCTGAAAAAAATAACTTTCCTGTTATTCTAGTTTCCTGTTGCTGTGATAACACACTCTGACAAAAAACAATTTTAGAGGAGCTGGACAAGTATCTCAGTAGTGAAGAGCGCTCAGAGGACCAGGGTTCAGTTCCCAGCACCCACATGGAGGCTAATAACCATCTGTAACTATTTCCAGAAGATCCAACACCCTCTTCTGGCCTCTATTGGTTTTACATTCATGTAATGCACAGAGAAACATGCAGGCAAAGCACCCATGCACATAAAATACAAATAGAAATCTTGAATTTTTTTTCTAAACAACTTAGGAGATGAAAGGATTTGCTTCAGCTTCCAGGTCAGTTCATCACTGAGAGAAATCAGGAAATGAACTCAGACTGGAACTTGAAGTAGAAACTATGGGATAATACTGTCATCTGACTTGCTCACTGACTCCTGCTTAGCTAGCTTGCTCACATAGCCCAAAGCCACCTGTCCAGGGAATAGTGCTACTATTACAATGACCAGGCCTTCCTATATCAATTAACAATCAATGCAATGCTCACGTTCAGGACCACAGGCCTCTCCTATCTGGAAAATCCTTCAACTGAGACAGGGGATCTAGAACAGGGACTGGCTGGTTTCTCAGCTAACGCTGGGACCTCTGAGAATAACTAGAACCTGGTATGGCCCACTATGGCTGACAAATTAGAGAGCAGCCTGGGGTGGGGGAAAAGAATGGAAGCTGTGAGTGATCCCTACTTCTTGCTGGAAGGTCTGTCCAAGCCGTACTTGCCTCTGGAAACCCCAATTTCTAGACCTAAGAATGCGATACTCACACCCCGTCCCCCACACACACACCTTGCAAATTCTAGGCTAACATCCTATACACTGTGATGCCTGATTTCAGGTCTCAACATCCTTTGATGACTTTACAGCTGGCCCCAGACTCATTCCCTTGAGAGTCCCAGCCATGACCATCCCCAAACTCTTGCTTTCTGTTTCAGCAAATCTCAGTCCCTGACTAACAGCCTCAGTACGTCAGATGCCTCCCATCGAGGGACCCCGAGTGAAGACGAGGCCAAGGCTGAGACCATCCGCAACCTGAGGAAGTCCTTTGCCAGCCTCTTCTCTGACTAGCCGCCTCCTCCTCGGGCTGGAGAGCAGGAGGACAGGAAGACTCAATGACTGGAGACTTTCTCTCGCTCCCTCCTTCTCAGCCTCGGTTCCTGGTGGAAACATGCTTCCTAGATGCCTCTTACCCAGGAACTGAGGATCTGCGCGCATTCCCACCTCCTTGACCATGACATTCCATTGCCGCCTGACTGAGCAGTAGCCTTGAGAGCCCCTGGGCTCCTTAGGGTGGACATTCTAGACAGATAAGACATTACTACACCCACCATATGCTTGCTCCCCTGCCGACGGTACCCATTAAGATGTCTGTGTGGCTTGGTTTTGCATTCTTATTAGTGTTTTGCTTGCCTTTGGGCAGAGGCCCACTTCGAAGCCTTGACTTACCTCCATCAAATGCAGACATTGTAGTCGGACCTCAGCAACACAAGAGGCAATACTTTTTAATGGTGTTTTTGCAGACAGAAATAGGGAAGTCCAGCCTAGGAGCCTACTACACACCCGGAGCAAGCTAGTGCCATCCTTGCTGGGAGTAGGCTGACAAAGGCCCCATCGCAGCTGGACCTCCTAGGGATCTTGATGCCGAAAGAAAGAAGCTAGACCCTATGCAACAACTGGGGCCTTTCAGAACAGAGTAGAGGAAACCCCACATAATGCTACCCAGGCTTAGAGCCAACAGCAGGAATCCAGAGGAGAAGAGCCTGTGCCCCCTGTGGAGAGGATCATGGGATTGTGTCTCTTTGACCTCACACAGAATTTGCTTTTTCCTCCTTAAGGTTAGGTGGGAACCCAGAGAGAGTGGGTAGCTCCCTGTTGCATGAGAAGACATCGTGAGGGGTTCTATGTGGTTCAGCTTTCTACCTGCTCTGAACAAGGTGTCAGTAATGTAAATAATGTAAATGCCCCCGCGTTTACAAAAGGTCTGGTGGGACAACCTTCAGAAACAGTGCGTGTGTTTCTCTTTGTGGAACACAGGACACACATTGAAGCCTTTTGGAATCTCTTCCAGAAAAAGTTCCACTCCAACCTTGTCTCGGCCATTATGACTCAGATGGTTGGCTGCAGAGCTAGGCAAAGCGGCCCTGACTACCCTTCCAGTGCGCGTATGCTCCTTCCCCTGCACCAGACTGCTCCCTGATCGCATCACCAAGCACCTGGTGCTAGAAACACTGTAGGTGCCAGAAGCAGCATCCTGACCCCGAGACGACCCAGGATATCAGAACACAGCCATGCAGATCTACACAGCGCCCTCAGCCACCTGAGGTGTGTCTTTCCTGCACGCTGCAAGGGAGGGAAGGGTTATTAACTGGAGCAGTTTCTGGTTATGCTCAAGTTCTGCATAGCCTTGGTGATCATCTAAGGTTTTTCCAGGTCTCCAGGAACACAGAAGCAGCCACTATGGTCTCTGGGGAGTTTTCTGCTTGTTTTCTTGGAACAGAGTTTCATACTGCAACTTGGGCTGAATGTAGCCCAAGCAAGTCTCAAAATCATGGTGACTCTTCTGCTTTATCAGCCTCCCAAGTGCTGAGATTTCCTGAATGAACCACCACATCCAGCAAACGTTCATCATTTTTTTTAGTCCTCCCAGCCCAGACTGGAGTAGCAAAGACAAGGGTAGAGACCCTCTCCTGCCTTGGCTCACTTAGAACCCTGCATTTCTTCAGAACTGCACCTTCAATCTGGTTTCCAAAAGGGATCAGCTGAGCACCAAAAGTGGCAGCTTTGGCCCTGGCTACAGAGATCCATTTGGCTCTCAGGGTCATCCTCTTCCTTCTCGCCTTCTCCCTCCATCATAAGTCATTATCAAGAGCAAGCACGCTGGTTATTTCAGAAGCCCTCCTTGGCCTCTTTTCACATCCTTGGTTTGGAGGAATAAATAGCTGATGTGATTCTACATCGTGAAGGTCCAAAGACCACTGAGACCTTAGTTTGGAGCTGTAGACTGCAGGGCTTCGCCTAGTTGGAACTGACTAGACTCGGGATCAAATACCCTATGGTGTGAAGTGAGGCACGGACGGCTGGAGGTCTGCACTTCCCAGTACCAACCAAGCCCAACCTCTTTTATTCCTAAGTTCCAGTGAGTTCAGTGTGTGCAGGACAGTCCCTGGGGCTTGCCTACACCCACCCTGCCCACGTCGCCCTCATTTTGCTCAACTGCTCACAGATCACAGAATGAGGCTGGCAAAAGCTTCCAGAATTCTTCTCGAGGATGATGGGGATGACCCAGAACGTGGAAAGACACTTGGCACAACAGTCAGCAGATTCTCCTGTCCCTCACCCACTCCCTGATGAGGGAAGAGGAGGTCTTGAGGCCAGTACTCCCAGCCGTGATTTAGGTAGGTTATCAAAAGGAAGAAAAAAAGGTCAGTCAACGAATCCACAGAATATTGCTTCTGCTTCCTGCTCCTCCTCTGTTCTTATTTAGCTCTTGCATCTTTCTCTAGAACCTCTGAAAAACGCTAGGTGAGGTAGAAAGGAGGATGGGGCGGGTAAGACTAGGAATGTTAAAGATAGTCTGTTAAAGTGAGTTCTAGAGAAGACGATGGATGTTGGCTTTCTGATTGTCTACCCCAAGAGATGTGAGTGCCCTTTTCAGGTCCCTCAGCACCCTCCTCCTTCACACACACACACACACACACACACACACACACACACACACACGTGCCTGGCTAATGACCAAAATGAACACATTAAGATATAACATCTTGCCAGGCATGGTGGCGCATGCCTTTAATCCCAACACTCCAGAGGCAGAGGCAGGTGGATCTCTGAGTTCGAGGCCAGACTCTACAAGATCCAGGAAAGCTAGGGCTACATAGAGAAACCCTGTATCAAAAAAAAAAAAAAAAAAAAAGGAAGGGAGAGAAGAGAGAAAGAACGGAAAAAGGAAAGGTAACATCTTAAAACCCCATTACCTAATTTCAGAGCATTCCCTGATGGCTTGCTTCAGTACGAGCGCTGTTCTATATCAGACCTTGAGAAGCCAGGGCTCACTCACGAGGCCCATGTGAAGGGAATTAGTCCAAGATCCTCACAGAAGTAAGGGGCCTGGGCCCTTTGCTCCTGACAAAGATAGCTGAAGTTGCTCCTGTAGAAAGCTCTGCCCCAGCTGGTAATAGTCTAACAGCCTCACACGTGTGTGAGTGTGTTGACAGGTGGCCTTGCATTCTGGAAAAGGGTAAGAGAGATGTACTGCTAAGATAACATCACGGAGAAGCCATGCTTTAGGCAGGTAAGAACACGGGGAACACCTGTGGCAGCCGTCGCTCTACAGTAGCCTCACCCATGTCTCAATAATAAAACACAGCTGCAGACACGGAGTGGTACCAGGGAGCAAGGTGTTTCTCAAAGTGTCGGCCCTGGACAGAACTAGGTGTAAAGGCAGAGGAACCTTTGCTTCAGACAACAGGAGTATGAACGTGTAGTGATAACGCTCAGAACCTACGGCTGGATCCGCTTCTGGGTGTTCTGGAGGCCCCCTGAGGCTGGGCTGCGGTTCTGAAGCAGGGCAGGCATGGATATGCCTCAGTCGCCAGCCCTGCTAGGGACCTGCCCCTTTGCTAGACAGAACTAGCAACTCCATAAATGACCATGTGGCCAAAATGTCCCCACTTTGATTCTGCCCCTAAAAACATCTCAGCATTCAATGGCATCCGTCCAGGATCCCAACTACAGTAACACAAATGTCTTTCAAAATCTGCATCAGGCCGGACACTCTGATTTTTATCATCATGCCGGTATGTCTAGCCAGACCCTGGTGTAACACTAGACTGCAGCCAGCACTTCCAAATGATTTCCAACTGGCCTGGGAATGGAAACAGAGGGCAAGGGTATATATAGGTCCCAGTCGGCCACATCTCTCTCCAGTGGATTGTTTTCACCCGTAAGCTAGTACTTGTTGCTGCCAAAACTGCATCCTTCAATAATTATGACATTTAGAGGTGGATAAGGGCAAAAGGAAAGGGGAGAAGTCACTGTAAATAGATTCTGAAAGGTTATATGAATTGGGTTTTGCTTTTACAACTTTGACCCAAACAAGAGCATTTTCCCTCCATGCTGACTTAAGGAAGCTGAAGCACAACAAAGACCCATTCAGTTTACATACAGTGATCAGGGACTTCCAAACACAGCCCCAAAGAACACCTCAAAACAGCCACGGCACGCTTCCTCCAGACCTGCCTGTCACCAGGACCAGATGACCCCCCCTCCAAGGCCTCCTGGCTGCTGTATTCACTTCTAGGATGCACTTGACTCTATTCCTGGAATATCTAGAGTGGCAGGTTCTTCACACTCATATAAAAGAAGAAAAAAAAGAAAAAAAGAAAAAAAATCAGCTAAAAACTCCATGTCACACAGTAGCCGCTGCTCCGAGAATTTCTCTTGTGAATATCTGTGACGCACCCAAAAGCAGCAAGCTGGCTGAGCACCTGGGATCTGGCACAGGACTGGGTGCAGTTCAGTGACAAGTTAGGTGTTCAGGACTCTCAAGTGACTCTCCTACAAAGTTAGGAAATCAGTGACATGTACATGACAGATTAAGATTGGAGATTCTTTCTCCCCTCCCACCATCCCCAAAGACCTCCTCTGCACTGCATCTAGACAGGAAGGGTAACAGATAGAATGAGAGGGAGATGCTAGCCCCTGGGGAGCATATTCCTAGGGTACACAACTTCCTGGAGGCCTGAGAGTTGCCAAGGTCAGCGTGGGTCACAAGAGGTGGCAGTGGGCATCCAGGACCATACTGCTGGCACACATGTAGCAAAGGAAAGAAAGTGGCTCTCTACATGAGAGCCGTGTGGACTGTACCAACCAAACATAGCTCAGCTTTGTAAACAAGTCCTCGGACAGGGTATACCAGCTCCCAGCAACAAGCCAGTCAATACCTCATCCTTTGTTATAGCTTAGCGGTTCATTTTGTGTCCGCAGAAGTGTGAGTGGCTGCAGCTGAGTCACAGGTGTTGATTAAGCAAGCTTTGCACATACAAGTGGTAGCATTACTGTCACAGGGACCAGCCCATTCACTGTGAGAACCCTTGCACGTGTATCTCTAGTTTATCCCAGAGCCACGCTGGCTGATACAACTAAACTGGGTCCTAGACCTTAGCAGCTGATTAAACTGTTTTAATATTTAAAGTTTCATAAGCAGCAGCACTTTGGGCTGCAGTGAAGACAAAGGGGAAGGTTGGGCAACAAGCAAGGCTGATTGGTCCTTTGTCAAGCGCAGAGCATAAAGGACACAGATGCTCTCTTGTGTTCCCTAGAACACGAGCTGAGATTGAAGAAACATGCACACTCAGCCTTCATAATCAGATCTAACTAGTAGACCCAGAGGGAAAAAACAAAAACGCCTAGACTTTTCATTGAGTCTCAAGAAGACTCGAGTTAACACCTCTTACACTCAAGCACTTTACTTCAGAAACAAGTGTTAGAACTCACTTGGGATTCCCAGTAGATTAAACAAGAAGTCAGCTTGAATTAAGTCCTTAGGGGCTGGAGAGATACAGTTCAGTCAATCAAGTGTTTGCAGTGCAAGCCCGACCCACGCTGAAAAGCTGGGCAGGTGGTGAGCACTTGTAATCTCAACACTGGGGAAGCAGAGACAAGTAGAGCAGAGTTCCCGCAGGCCAAGGGAGACAAATGTTTACAAACATCTTTCCATGACTTGCCTAGCACACTGCAATAATCTCTTCTGTGCAAAGTATTGACAGAGCCTTGCCCGCACTAGGGCACAGCAGAGCACCTGCCCAGCTCTTCTCCAAGGCTCAAATCAGCAGAGTAGGAGGAAAACAGACCTGGGAACCAACTCTGAACAGAAGGAAAGGGAGGAGTATCTGGTTCGACTGGTTAAGAATTAAGGAAACATCAAGTTAAACAGTGGCCTCGGTAACTGAGAAGGAAAGAGCTAGAGAATTCAGGATTTTACACAGGGAGTCACTAGTTGGAAAGGGTTCTTGCCCGGACTGAGTTACCAGCCATGCTCAATGGGCATTTTCTGTTTATAGTGGTATGGGGAGGAGAAGCTCCCATTACTAAAGGGTGACTATAGGAGAACTTAGGGGCCAAGAAAGATGGAAGGCTACTGCAAGCCAACTCACTGGAGCTGCACCATTCTCAAGCACTCGCGAGAGGCTTCTAGGCTGCCCTGCTCCCGTTACAATGCATGGAGATGACATCACAAAGCCACAGAGCGAAGAAGCCGCTGCCAAGTCAGGATTCCACCCATTATGTTATCAGCAATACACAAAAGCTCACAGCCTAAAGACAAGGATGCAAGATTTTCTAAGCTTCTAAATATAAAATTAGCTGCTAGTCAAGAGAAAATGCTTTGAGGACTCTTTAATAAGAATTTTTGAGAGGTGCCAACGTTTAGATTTAGAGCACTCTTTCAGCATCTTAAACTCAAACTTGCAACATCTGCCAGTCAAGTTGAGTGAGGGTGGACCGGCACCGTCAGGGGCTCCCAGGCCTATCTGAAAATGGCTGTGTTCTGAAAACTTGTATTTGGTGCTCTGGTCTTCCGTTTCCCATGCCACACGTGCACACACACTACATGGGCAACAACGTCTAGCTACAAAGACATGTTTTGAAGTGGAATCTTCATGGTGACCCTTTCAACCATACCCAAATGAAGCCTATGATATTCGGTGGGCATTAAGAAGACTGTCCTATAGAACACAGAAACCTAAGCAGCCCAGATCCTCTTCATTAAAGATCACGTAGCTTATAGAAATAGCAGACTGAATTTTCTTCACTGTGATGCAAAGACTCGAAACACATGTGTAGCAAAGTCTCACTTGAACACAGGACTAATATTCCTGCAGCATACATTCTAAGCCATTTCCTAATATGCAAAACAGGTTTTTAAAATCAGAAGACAGTGGCACTGGTCCTATTTCCTGCAGATGCGAATGGCATTTTATTCCTGTGCAGCAGTTCGATTTAAATTTGTCACTATAGCATGTTCCTATAGTTATTTGTGAAAGTCATTTGTGTTTGGGCCTTTTCTTGTAGAATAAATAAATGTTGATTTTTGAGTATTTCAAGTCTTAAAAGCACAATATTCTTCCAGTAAAAGTGCCTGCAGAACTCTGCTGTCAAGACCCAGGATCTCAGATACCAAACACAACAGGGAAATCCTAGTTGGGAACAAGTCTGTACCAACCCAATGGCCTTCAGAGCTTTAGAAGTTCCTCACAGAATCCAGAAAAGCTGCTCAAAGGGAAATGGTAGTTCAAGCAAACTAGTTCAGCTTTTATTAGGATGTGTAAGCTCAGCTTTCACTCAACTGACACCTCTACAAAACAGATACCACCTGTAATAAATCACCTCCTCACACTCAGAAGCACCCCGATAATTTTCAAATATAAAAATTAGCAGTATGAATAAGGTTTGACTACTATATGTATCTTTAACAAAAGTCAAGACCACCATATAATTTTTACTTTTATTAATCTAGCACAGAATATAATCAGTACCACAAGCTCCAACCCAGAGGTGATTCCAGAGCAGGGACCAGCAGTCAATCTTCCCAAAGTCACCCCGGCTCTGAGTAACCTTGTCCTTGGTGCCACAACCAGAAACTGACAGCCAAGGTCACCGTCCAAGGAAACAAAGCCTCCAAATTGGTCACAGGTATGGTTGCCTGCTGTCAGCCGGTCGACCCCTGCTGGGTCTGAAGGGAAATCTGTTGTTGGGGCCACCTCTTCCTGGGAAGAGGGGGTCAGGTCCTGGAAGTGGGCCAATAGGATCAAATCGTGGTCTGAGCGGCTGAAATGGGTTAGGTATCTCCCCTGGCCTTGGGATGAGTGAGCCGGCGGGGTCCCCAACACTGGGCAGGATCGGTCTTGCGTCATATTCACCGCCAATGATTCCTGGAGGAAGCAGTGAAGGGGGAAAAGTGACCCTGGGGTAGACAGGAATGGGACAGAATGGGACAGAATGGGAGGACGATGGCAGGAACATTGCGTGCCGCATTCTCTGAGCCTCTTTTCTTTGTATGTGCCTCTTTCTGTACAGCTGTAGAAAAAAGGGAGGGGAGACATGTGAGTGGTCAGCTACCACAGGCGATTTCATGTTTCTCATCCCTGGTGGATTTCCATTTAACATAAATAAGAGGATCTGTTAAAGGGCAGGACACACACTCAAGAACAGTTCTGTGTACTCAGCAAGCATCTGAGGACTTTCATTCAATTGTTTTCTTTAGTCCTTCATCCCAAATAGTTTTTTATCAGGCCTAGCAATGGTTTTTACAATCGAAATCTGCAAATAAACCTTGTCTCTTAACTGGGCGATGGTGGCTCGCCTTTAATCCCAGCACTTGGGAGACAGAGGCAGGCTGATCTATGTGAGTTCGAGGCCAGCCTGGTCTATAAGAGCTAATTCTAGGACAGGCTCCAAAGCTACAGAGAAACCCTGTCTCGAAAAACAAAAAGCAAAACAAAACAAAAAATACCTTGTCTCTTATTCTTTTCACAAGGTACCATGCTATCTAACAGCTTTAGATTTCCTAAACACAACAATGACAGATTTTTTTGTTTTATTTTTCAAGACAGGCTTTTCTCTGTTCCTGGAACTCGCTTTGTAGACCAGGCTGGCCTCAAATTCACAAAGATCCGCCACCTGATTCCCAAGTGCTGGGATTAAAGGCGTTTGCTTCCACTGCCCAGCCAGAATTATTTTTGTGGGGAAAAAAAAAAAAAGTAAGCCTGTTTCCTATTTCAGTGAAAAACTATTAAGACTTTTCTTTGTCGTTCCAAGAAAACAAGGACTAAGCCTAAAATTGAAAACATTTTCAGTAGCAATATTTAACAATAAATTTAAATTGATTTCATCACATCACATTAAAAGTGAAAAGACACCTTTCCCTAGTGACTCATTTATTTGAGTCATAAACATTATTAGTCTTCATATTTAAAAATACCTACTTCTTTCCAATCTGTGTCTGGACCTCTGACAGTACCATCTGCAAAGCAAAGAAAAGAAAAAGAATTAAAACCACTTCATGCATCCAGTATTGCCTGCCCACCAAGTGAGGAGGAACAGGAGGCATCTGGACACATGCACTGCACTCACTAGTGTGCATCAGTCAGCTGCTCACCACTGCTTTGTGCACTACCCGATGAGTTCGGGCAGAGATGACTCGGGACACTGCGGACAGCCACTCATTCTTCCATAAATGTCTTCTGCTGCAGGCTGCAGACCCATGCAGCTGTGCCAGCTGCCCCTAAGCCATGTCTGGAGTATCGGCCCAGCTTGGCAGCCTCTCTTAAGTAAATATATTACAGTCCACATTCATTACTGAAGTCTAACTGACCAGGCCTTCTTCTGTAGTGGGTATGTCCTTCCTTCCCGCCAGTCTCTACAAGGCTTCACTACCAAGAGTGTGACAATAACACACAGAACTGTTTTAAATGTACTTAAAATATATGAAATGAGGGGAAAAAAATCAGTCAACTTCAAGTCCAATGAGGAGTTCAGGAAAAACCTGCCCATGGCTTCTCTACAACTTATTATCTAGCTTGGAAGTTTAGGGAAGCTCTCTAGCCCAGGAGTTTTCTACTTATGGCAGCCATTGGGGGTTGAATGACCCTTTCACAGGGGTTACCTAAGACCACTGGAAAACACAGATATTTACATTATGATTCATAACAGTAGCCAATTACAGTTATGAAGTAGCAACGAAAATAACTTTATAGTTGGGGGTCACCACAACACAGGCAACTGTGTTAAAGGGTCACAGTGTTAGGAAGGCTGAGAACCATTGCTCTACTCCCATACAATGGCACACCACAGTCAGGAACGAACCACAGACCAACAGCAGTTAAATGCGCAGGTGAGCGGGCATCTGCTCCTCTCACGTGACTTCATACCATAGTCAAACACGCAGGTGACTTTACTCCGTAGTCAGCTTTCCTTGTCACCTGTTCCATGTAGATCACTGTGTCTTTTAACTACTTGTTCATCTGATTTTTTTTCTTTTTAAGATAAGGTTTTACTTGGTAACTCAGACCAACTTTGAATTACAGAAACCTTCTTGCCTTTAGCCTCCCACATGCTGGGATTACAGACATGCCCACCATTCCTGGATTATGCACCGCTGGGGATGGAACCCAGGGCCTAGTACATGCTAGGCAAGCACTCCACCTACTGATCCACACCCCCGGCCCTGTGCTTCCTATTAACTGTGATTTCTTTGGTTACCACACTTGCTGCCTACTGTCACAAAGGAACACTTCAAGTTTTACTTCTAAGGGCTTTAAGCAAAGTCAAATGAAGACTTTAAGATCCAAAAAGAAAAGGAAGGATCTAGTTCACTCACTTCTTAAAGTTCAAGAATCTAAATGACTCTATGACATTCTGTCAGGAGGAGTGGGGGGTCTACGCACCAGATTTCCACGGCTAAGGTAGTATGTTAACAACACATTCATGTTCATTAAAATGCTTTTGGCAGAAACCACATAGCAAGTAAATACTACTTGATGTAGCTCACTTCTCTTTTTCTACCTTGGTGGTGGTGTTCCTTGTGAACTGACCCATTAAGTCAACTTCACGACCACCCTACATTCAAAACAACAGCTTCAAACACTAACAAGTCAGTACTGGCAGAAGAGAAGCTCACAGTCAGGCTCTTTCTGGCCTTGACCTGGAAATCCTGGTGGACAAGATCTAATGTCTCACCACTGCTGCAATGACCATTCAGTCACAAATGTGACCACTACAAACAAAGAGCCAGAACAGCATTCCAAAGGTGAGCAGCTGTGAGCTGACCCTGGTCCCCCAAAGGTGAGCAGCTGTGAGCTGACCCTGGTCCCCCAAAGGTGAGCAGCTGTGAGCTGACCCTGGTCCCCCAAAGGTGAGCAGCTGTGAGCTGACCCTGGTCCCCCAAAGGTGAGCAGCTGTAAGCTGACCCTGGTCCCGTAAGGCAGTGTGTAGAAGTGCAGTTTATTCTAAGTCAGAGACTGAAAATGCTCTTTCAGATGGAATAAACCTGTCTTCTATTTTGTATCCTAACATAAATTTACTGGGGCTAAAGGGTTGTATTGCAGAAAATATGAAAAAAAGGAGTAGAGAGAGTATCTGTGGCACAGGCCAACATTAGGAAGCCAGAGCGTCTTCTCTCAAAAGCTACCCCTTTAACAAGCTGAAGATAAACAGAACAGCTGGGGAAAAACTCTACTTAAAAACTTTAGCCAGCTGAGCAATACCATGGCAACCGCGGTGATAAAGAGCCTTTCTCCCATCAACACGTCGTTACGTAAATCACCTCGAAAATCCCGCAGATACAAACACCGCCACAGCAGAGGGTCGTTTGATGCAATCTGGAGGTCATGACAGACAGCAGACAAAGCCAGGACAGACAGAACATCCAAGAGTCGGAAGATGCGGAGTTTCAGCTCCAGCGGAAGGACGACCAGTCCAAATACATCTGGAAGGTTCAGTACTAGATGGGGAACAGCAGCGATGGGAGTTACTGAGTACAGAACATCGAGGTTTCCCCACATGCTCATCAAAAGCTGTCACTGCCTCTCTCTCAGAAGGTGATAGGTCTTGATCATCAGCTTTATCTGAAACTGTACTTTTTATGTTTTTATTGAGCTATACATTTTTCTCCACTCCCCTTCTACCCTCTCCCTCCTGTGACCCCCATCTCTCACCTTGTCGTGTGAAGGCCAGAAGAGGGTATACCAGCTGGTCTTTGAAGAGTCGAGAGAGCTTCTTAAGATCTTTGTACACTTTGGCTGCACTTTCCCCTGGAGTGTTTTTACAAAGTACAAGTCAAAACACAAAACCCTGAAGTGGTGTCAAACAAGATCCAAGTATTAAACTTTCAGGAGTAACTCCCCCACAGATAAAGGAAATTGGAATCCTTAGAAGACAGCACACAGCTGACCAGCCCATCTCAGGTGCAAACATTAATAGGTGACGTCACACGGATCACCAGCAAATCTCAGTAGAATTAACATAGTGAAAATGGCCATCCTACTAAAAGCAATCTATAGATTCAATGCAATACAAAATCCCAACACGATTATTTACAGACCTTGCAAGAACAATTCTCAACTTCATATGGAAAAACCAAAAACAAGCAAACAACAAAAAACCCAAGACAGCTAAAACAATCCTGAACCTTTAATCCCAGCACTGAGGAGGCAGAGGCAGGAGGATCTCTCTGAGTACCAGGCCCCAGCCTGACCTACAGAGCTGGTTCCAGGACAGCTAGGGCTTTGAGACAGAGAAAGACTGTCTCAAAAACAAACAAACAAAAAACCAATCCTGAACAATAAAAGAAGTGGTGGAGGTCTCACTATCCCTTATTTCAAGTTGTACTACAGAGCTATAATAATAAAAACCTCATGGCACTGGCATAAAAACAGAAACACTCATCAATGTAATCTAATTAAAGATCACAAGAAGCATAAAAGTAGAATATACAGAAAGAAACGTTAAAAACCCCAGGCAAAACATAAAGAGAAACAGATTAAGAGTTAACATGAGGCCAAGCATTCATAACAAATAATAAGTCTCTGTGTCATGATTTGGTAGCTGGTTGGTTGGTGGCTCAAAGGAAAAAGCCTGTGACAGGGGTCTAAACTTAGGAGCTACAACAAAATAAAAATGACTTGCCAACATGAACACATATGCCTACCTAACAAAAGTACTTCACTGAAGTCTATAAACTTTTCCAGAGAAACAAACTTTCTCCCTCCCTTTTGCTTCTTTGTTTCATATTTAACAGATCAAGAACAGTAATCTGAGCTAGACCCCTAGATAAGCTTAGATTTTTAAAAACTTCAGGGTCAGACAATCTACTCCGATCCTGATTTCCTCTACTACTTAGGTCTCGGCTACTGAAATGATTTAGCCCTCTCAGGAACTATTTCCTTATCTGTAATCTGAGCATAAAGCCTGTGCTTGGGGTATGAAATACTGCAAGGTCCTCCCTAGGGTGGGGATAAACCGTGCTGAGGAACGTTTAAGCTCTCTGATCTGATAGAACGCGCACTTACACACTCGTGACTCCAGCGCACATTCTCAATTCATTCTCGGTAGCGACAAGATCATCCCAATGGTAGCAAAAATTGGTTCTTGGAGAGTACTAATTTGAACCCAAGTGTAGAATCGAAAGGACTACAGTATTTAAGGACGGAGTGTGTGTGCGGTACTAAAACTTCACAGGAAAGCGTGACTGTATGGCGGAGGACAAGGGGGCGACAGCCCACAGAGGAGCGGCAGTAAAGGAAGTGACAGGCTGACCAGAGACTGGGCTAAAGCCACCATCCTGGTGTGCATCAGCCAGGGCTAAAGAACACGCCGTACTCCTCTTCCTCCATCGGCCTCCCAGACTACAGGGATGGGACGTGCTCAGCACAAAACAGAAAGAAAGATCCATTCTTTCCTCTCCACCCACCACTCCTGTTGACCACCTGGTCTCTCAGTTAAGGTTTAACCAGAAACAGTGAACAGAGAAATTGGACTTTTTTGCATCTATTAATAATTTTATGGAATATAAGCAAAGCCATACTTGCAATCCCAATTTTAGGAAAATTCTAATCTCATTAAAAAGTAGCATTTATGTCAAGTTTATAGTAAAAATATTAAAGCAGGTTTTTTCCATTAATATTCAATAACAAAGCCACACTGAATTACTTGCATGAAACATAGATCTTCTCTGTGTCAGTTACACAACAGGAGAAAGATCTCCAAGGGTTAACACAAGAAACTAGGAGGGAACCTCTAATGCCATAAACACAGTTTTGTATTCAAAGACCAGAAGAATTATAATAAAGAAACAAATTCTTCAGATTGTAATAAACCTTCTTCTTTCTTTCCTTTGTATCTGTGGTGCAGAGTAGTGCCCAGGGCCTTGTATACGCTAGGCAACTGCTCTACCAGTGAGCTACACCCCTAAGCCCTACCCATCTGAATCCTTAGAAGCAACATTGTTTTGGTATTTGCTCTAATCTCATTTAGAAATGGCCATCCTTTTCAACATAATCTTTTGGGCTCTGTGTTTTTAGTGCCTCCCAAAGCTTCCTTCCAAAGTTAAGTCGTGGTTACATCACCTGGTTCCACTTCACACACGTAGGATCTTGGCTGCAGCTGCACTGACTTCGCGTTTTTAATCCCACCACTGATTTTTACTGTAGCTGTAAATAAAAGAAAAGATGATAAAGCATCTGTCACTTCCCTTTGTAGTGCAGGCCTTCATTTCCTCGCCTCTGTAGACTAAAGACAGACTATTCCACACAGACTGTTCTGAGCACATTCTTCCACTCTAAGCAAGGTCAGAAGTCTAAACCTGCCATGAAGAAATCAGCATTCCACACTACCTTCAGAGACTACAGTGAGCATCTTCACACACAGTCCGCTCAGCACCACCAACAGTGGCTTACTAGTTATCGACAGGTCTGCAACAGGTCAACAGGAGGCAGGCCAGCACAGAAGGCCATTATTTTCAGTGAAGTCACTAAAGCACCATTCATTTCTTCTTAACCCTTGGCAACAGCCAATCCTGTTCATTAACAGGATCCTTCCAGTTTTCACAGCACTGTCGCTGTCTAGACCCAAAGACCAATATTCTTGACATCACCAGAGGGTTCAAGTTCAGTTCTGTGTACAAAGGCGCACTTCATCTCAGCTCATGAAAGAGCTAGTGATGGCCTAGTGCACGTGCGCACCAAGTCAAGCCCTGGATGGAAGGTTTAGAGACACTGCCCCTTTTCAAAGACTTGAGCCTGGATGACCAGTGACTGAGAGAGCCTGCGAGTCACTGATCTGTAAAGAATTAAAGAGTACAACAGCAGAAATTAAGAAATCATCAAAATATTTGGTGAAGAGAGGGGATGAGATGCTCTCATCAGTACCTTTCTATGAAACTGAGGTCAGACCAACCACCTCACATGTGCTATTTATGTTTGGTAACGTCCATCTTCCAAGTTGGAATATTTCCATAAATCAGAAATTAATGCCGCTCTGAGCACAGAACGCACACTACACGCTCTATAAGCTACCAGTGAAGAGCTGACAGAGACGTCACTCGGCCTTCATGCCATCACACTCACATCCTGACAAATGTGCAGGACCACCAGCTGTTAAAGCTGAAATGCTGAGGCACCGAAGAGAAATATCTACTTCTAAAATAAAAAATGCCATGTTAGCTTCCAAAACAAATTTCAGCAGAAAGCTTATTTTCTAACACAGAACCTCAATAAACAAAACAGGTAAGTTTGCTGTTGGTCAGGGACTCTACCTTACACCACCTCAGCAAAAGCAAGCAGCTGCAGGACACGGAACGCTGTTGACCTGGGGCAGCAGAGCAATATAACCTGTTATACAAACATTACATTCTAAGTAGCCGAAAAGATAACTCAAAAGCTAAACAGTGTTTGCCCGGTGGAGTGGTCCTCACACAATCCTGAATGAACAGAAGTTGAAGGCCAGTTTGGGCAACCTAAGACCCAATTTCAAAAATATAAAAAATAAAACAAAAATCGAAATATAAGAACATGGTCACCCAATTGGATCTCCGATATGTGAGACCTTGAGAACATTCCAGAGAGACCAGCGGTGGTTAGGAAGGGCCTGTGTGACATCTCAACTAAAATGAGGTTATTTATTCAGGGCATGTTCTGAGGACGGGCAGCTAAGTTATGCATGTACTCAGGCCTCAAAATTCTCAGCAGCATGTCTGTGTATTGACAGTCACAGAGATGCCTAACTGGATAAACAGGAACCTCAGATCTCATAAACCCAGATCAAGACTTAGATAAAAAGAATTCACAGACGTGCACAAAAAGCCCTCCTTATAGTTTATACACTCATTTCATTCTTATCATCACAGCTCTCACAGAATGAAGGATTCAAGACAGACATTGAAAGGAAGGGTTGGGACTGGGGAGGTGGCTCAGCAGTTAGCTACAGGCACTGACTGTTCTTCCAGAGGAGCCTGGTTCAATTCCCAGCACCCACACAGCAGCTAACAGCCATCTGCAACTCTAGTTCCAGGGAATCTGATGCCCTCTTTTGACTTCTGAAGGTACTGCCTGCATGTGTTACAGACTCATGCAGGTAAAAACACAACAAATAAATGTTTTAAAAGAAAGGGGGCCAGCACAAGAGTAAAGGGTGGTGTCCTAAACCAACATCAACCTCACATTTTCCTTCCAGGCACGTCACCAGTGGTAGAGGAGTTAAGTTGTGAATGACCCGTAACTATTTCTTGGCAGTCAGTCACTAATGCAGTTATAAGACATCTAAAAGACACGATGTATGTAATTCATAAGCCAGCAAGCATGACTGCAGGGCTGCATTACCATTTATAATGATGAGGCTTTCCAAAGGCACACAGGTGAGCACAGCAGCTCCCTCCTCACAGAGAGGGTGTGTGTACTGCAGCTTGTACACACCACTTGACTTCCACTTCTCAGGCATTGATGCTGCTTTGGCTTCAGTGCCCTGAGGAATGAAATGAAAGGAAAAATTATTTTAAAAGGTGCTGTACTAAAAAACCTGGAAATCAGAAACACCTCTATCTTACCAAGCTTTAGAGCCCCCATGGACCACTGATACGGCTCAGCAGGCACAGTGCTTGCACAGAAGCCTGATACCCAGGTTTGAGCTGTGGAACCCACATAAAGGTAAAAGTGGAAAACCAGCTCCTCGGAACTAGGCTCTCACATGCCACACATGCAGTATGGTATGCACACGCCCTACATGCACATACTACACACATGCAGTATGATATGCACATGCCCCACAGGCACACACCACACACATGCAGTACAATATGCACATGCCCCATAGGCACACACCACACACATGCAGTACAATATGCACATGCCCCATAGGCACACCACACACATGCAGTATGATATGCACACGCCCCACATGCACATATCACACATGCAGTACGATATGCACACGCCCCACATGCACACATCACACATGCAGTATGGTATGCACATGCCCCACATGCACACACCACACACATGCAGTATGACATGCACACACAACACATGCAGTACAATATGCACACGCCCCACATGCACACATCACACACATGCAGTATGGTATGCACACACCCCACAAACACACATCACACACATGCAGTACAATATGCACACGCCCCACATACACACATCATCCCACACGTTTTTAAAAAGATGCACAGCCTCCTTAACAGAATGTGCACATCATTAATACTGCTACTATCGGAGAATAATATGCTTTAATATTTTTCTATAAAAATTTGTTTTAAAAGATAAAATATTATCATAGAAAAAAGGATTAGTTTTTCTGTTCCAAGGCTCATAATTCTGTCGAGCAAAGCCATGCCATTATTCACTATCCCGGGTTGAGTGTCACTTCTTTCACACAGCCCATTTCGGAAAACACTGCTATTTACTAACACTGTTCACACTTCTGTCACTGCACATTGTTAGGCTTTTCATCGGTTTACACTGTTATTTAGTATGTGGTATTCCTCTTGTCTTCCTTACCCATTTGAGAACTCTGAGGACAAGGACAGTATCTGGTGTGTTAGTTTCTGGCACAGGCATACAATGATCTAGTTTTTAACTTTGTAGCCCACCACGTGGTCCCCAGGGAATGTATACAGGACAGGAGTACAGGGGCTAGCAGGAGATGCAAAAGGCTCCGCTCCATCCTAGTTTTCCAGTGCAGAACCTGCACTCTGACAAGATCCTAAGTTTTGCTTAGTGCTAACTGTTCTCTGAGCATCCCTGGGACTCTTACATGATAGACTATAATGGTCTATATTCTTGTCTATTCTCAGACTAAAGGTAACTTGAGAACAAAGACCTGAAACAGGGAGAAAAAACCACTGGCACGAGCAGATGCTTAGCAAACACATGCTGAATGAAATAAGCAACCACAGCACAAAGCCATTAACATGAAACAGCCTCTTAGTCAGCATTTAGTCGTACTCGGTCCACACCACCTCATTTTATCTGAATATTAGCATATATAAACCTTTGTCTTTTTTAAAGCCAGTGACCATTACTTCTGCGATACTAAATGCTAACAAAGGAAATGAAGGCTGAAAAGGGAAAGGGCATATTTACAGAGTACCTATGACAACCTTCCTGTGCCTGGCATTTTACATTCAACAACCAACCACTTTAATAAAGAAAGGAGGACCTCCACAAGACCGACTCAGGTGTCCAGGGAGACCTCACAAGGCACCTGGGTTGGGCTTACCTGAGGTATGTAGCCCGACTCGAGCATGAGGAGATGAACCAGCACTACCAAGGCATCACTGATGCTGGAGCAGCCAGCTGACTGGTACAGAGTCTCCAGTGAATGTGGCACCTGGCCATCCTCCACTTCACTGCACAGCATTGGTTCCAATGGATGGAAACCAGAATCCTCTTCCATATCCATGGCATCCTCAATTGACACAGCCTCAACATTTTGACTAGGCCCTTCCTAAAAAGGATGGCAATAATAAATTCATTAATTTTACACAGGATATTCTATATCCTAAACTAAGCAAATAGTGCTCAAAACCAAAGCACAGCATGAGGTTCAGGAAAAGGCACCATCTTAAGGAAGTTCTTGTAGAATAAAGGAGACTGCAGCCTGCACCCCCATCCTGGATCCTTAACTCCCTCTGTGCTGACAGGCTAGAAACCTGGAACTCATCTCTAAGTCTTCACACTTGCAAAACAGTACCTAAATGTGGTGTCTTCACAGCTCCAACTACTATCATTTCTCTAAAGCTGTGCTTCCTATGCTACAGGTGCTTCAGACCCCCTCTATGTGTCCCGACTTCAAGGAACAGCACCCCTCAAAGTGCCTGACTCCCCCCACCCCCTTGTCTCATATACACCATACACTCCTGCCAGTTTCCCTGGAAATTGAGAATCCAATCATGTCTTATGCCCCAGTTTAAAACGTACCAGGACTACCTCAAGACAGACGACATTTCCCACAACTGTACCGTAAGACTGTGTCCATGATATGCTCTTAGGGGAAAGTCAGTTCAGTCTAGTGAGGAAATACTGCAGCTATGTCTGTGTAACTGAACCTACATTCACAGGACCCAGCATTAACCTCAGAAAAGTCCCAAAACTTCTAACCCAAACGCACTGTCCTTCTTCACTTAGCAGCTCTGCTACACTTACTACAGATTCACAGAACAAGTTTAAGTCCAAATGCCTAGGCATATAAGGCCCCCCCATTACCTGTTCCCTGGCTCTCCATCTGTTCACTACCAACCCTTCCCTACCCGCTGCAGCATTCCCACTTCAGCAGACCCAAGGGATGCCACGGCCTATATCACTGCACCTGCCACACTGTGCTGCTAGCCTTCATTTCGCACATCTGCATCCCTCCATGACTGTAAGTTTGTGTAAAGTACAAAACTACCCAAGGCATCCATCTGGTACCTGCCACATTTAGTAACGTCTGTGGAACAACTGCGGAAAGATAACAATTTCATGTTTCTCTTGCCTTACAAGATCATATAACCTGAGCAAGGGAGGACAATGCCTGTTTATAGATACTACAGTTGTAACTCAGAAAAAACAGTAACTCGCTGAGATCACCAGCTGATAAAAGTCTGAAATGAACCCACGTCCTCAGATTCACCATTAAGGGCTTTTAGATGTGAAACAGGCTTTAGTAAAGCTACGTTGCTACACTGATTTCATTCAGAAAGCTTGTTTCCTAGTTTGTGCTCAACTTTTAATACAAAGCAAGTCTCTTTTTAGGGTTGTACCTCCAGAAGAAGGAGTAGCAGGGGAATTTAAAGCTATACAGCATAAACCAAAGCTGAGGGACTGCAATCAAGCCAGAGCTGACACTTACTCTTTCAAAATCAGCAGAGCTGAAACCTAATGGCTGCAAAAACATCAAACTTGTTAAAATGCAAACCACAGCCAGGCATGGTGGCACACACCTACAACTCCTGCACTTGGGATGTTGAGGCTGGATAACTCAGAGTTCAAGGTCAGCCTGAGCTATATGACTAGATCCATCTCAAAAAAAATTTAATTAAATTAAATTTTAAAGGCTATGATAACTCACACTATATAAAAGATGCTACTGCATAAACATTTCCATGATTTTCTCTGAACAGAAATCACCATATTAGAAAGAATCTATCAAGCTAAATTATGAAAACAATCTCTTAACTTTTCCCCCATTATTCCTACTTCAGCCAGTAGCATGGAATAAAACAGATGTGGAGATCTTTAAGAAGCATTACCCTAAGCGGCTAACTCCACACCCACTGGGGGCTTATCTAACCTTATTCCTAAGTCCAAGAAGCACGGGCATCTGCTGAGCTGTTCTGATATGAGTGTTTATCATCTCGTGTGAGAAGAGAACAGCTGAGCATCATCTCCAAACAGTCTTGCCACAGGCCACTCACAAAGCAAACAGCTGGCTAAACCGCGGCAGAACTTCTCTCGGGTCTGTACAGGTTAATCCCTTGCTGTCACTAAAGGTAATTCCCACGTGCAATGAAAGAAAACTAACTTACATGTAGTCACAAGCAGAACCCCTCTCCTCTGGTTTTTCTTTTCCACAGCTCCCTTCTATACTGAACTAGCACATTACGTAGAGTCAAGGGCTCCAAGCTCAGTGTCCCTGCTAAGGTCTCATAGCCACCCCATAAAAACCTCACAGACAAACAGTATGCTCTTAGAACTGGATCACTACCTTGTGGTACAGTAGCGTCTCAAAATTTTCCAAAGAAAAATTAACAAAGTATTACATACACTGTAAAACTCCATCTTACTGGAGGATTTTTAGAGCACATCAAGTCAAGGGAACAGGCTCTTCTCTCTAGGTCTTATCTTTAAAAGAGTCTGGTTTTTTTAAGTATGCAGTCAGACAGATATCTTTAATAATTCTATACACTACCCTCTGAAGCAGAAACAAACAAGAGACACAAGAATGATTTAAAGGACAAATTAAAATTCTTGTATCAGGAAATTATTTTCACAATTTATCAATCTATTAAATATCTTAACAACCATCTATTCAGAATATCTGCTTATTCTTAATATCATGATTCAGTGTTTAAGGCTTGCAAAGGAAATATATACATAAAAAGAATATACACATAAAACAGTTAAGAATGGTACATGTGTTAGTATTAAAGAAGTGTTTTGTTCAAGGCCTACAAGCAAGTTTCAGAACTGTTAGGGCTGTTATACAGAGAAACCCTGTCTCAAAAAACCTTTAAAAATTTTAATTTAAAAAAGAATCACTTTATACAAAATATTAAAAGGAAAAAATAATAAGGAACTTACAAAGTTATACAGATCATTGATGAATGCTTTAAAAAAAATCACTGGACTATTGGAATACAGAAGTACAAACAGGAAAAGGAGGAGCAGCAAAGGCACCGGGCCACATCGCTGGTCACGAGGTCAGCAGGTTGTAGACTTGATGCTAGCAAGCAATTATCAGGACTCAGTACCAGCGAGAGACAATCACTGACGGGAAAGAACAGAAACTAGCCGTGGAGAGGCAGGGTAGGACAACTTTCGGAAAGCCTGGGTATGGGACGATAAGGGGCTTTCTCTTCTGTGAAATAACATGACTGGACTAGATATATTTTCATCTCAGACACAGAGCTACTGAAGAGCAAGAGTATGACATAATAAAGATGTAAGAAGCAGACCTTAAAAAGAGAAGAACACAGACTGGCAGCCTGTGTTATAAGAAGTCCAAAGTCGGCCTATGGTAGTGCACACCTTTAATCCCAGCACTTGGGAAGCAGAGGCAGGTGGCTCTCTGTGAGTTCAAGGCCAGCCTGACCTATATATTGAGTTCTAGGACAGCCAGGGCTGTTACACAGAGAAACCTTGTCTCACAAAACCATCATCAACAACAAAAAGAAGTCAAAAGGCACAGAATATCAGGGGTCCTACTTAGGGGCAAAGCAGGGTGTCTCTATGTGGAGGACAGGCCTAATGGTGCATCTTATTTCCAAAGTGGTGTTAGACAGTCTGTGATAACCATCGAAAAGTCCAGCCAATCGTTTGGAAATACCTGGACTGTATATACATACAATTAGTGAGTGTCCAAACTGGTAAGTTAGGGATCATAAACACACAAACATCAGACATCACGTGATACACGATCTAAAGGAACATCTGAGCAAAACTACAAAACCATGCATGTTAGAATGTCAGCATAAAATCAGTCCAGACATTTAGCAGTTAAAAAGAAAATGTTCAGAAAGGGCACAGTCTATAATTTACTGATTCTAATCATCCTGACTGCTGTAGGATTCCTCTGGAGTGTCAATATATCTGATCAACTACTCTGCTTCATCTTTAATACCCACCACACTGTCATCATTCCAGGCATCAAACTGGGTGGCCTGTGCATGGGAAGAGTCGCTCCGCCGTTCATCGGGGATGCTAGCCTGACATGAGCTGGCAGCCTGAGAAGGTTGGTCAGTATTCTGGAGTGAGGAAGGTTCTGAATCTGTAGATGAAGGTAAGTTAGGTGCCGGCAAGTCATCTTCAAGAACCAAACATATCAAGTCCCCAGAAACAATCCCATATGAAGCCAAGGTTTCTTCATCTCTGGTGAGGGCATCCTTGTTGTTCAATGTAATTGCAAATCGGGTATCAGAACTGCCAAGAAAGATGGATGAGCACAGTAAGAGCTACCTACTCCACTATTCCAAACAATACATTTGGAATACACTAAACTACATGCTATGTACCCAAAAGCACTAATAATAATAATAAAAGCAGGGGATTAAATTCCTTGTTCTTCTCATCTAATGCCCAGGTCATAGGTTTCTAACAAGTTTAATAATAATAATAAAAATGGGTTTCTATAAATTTAGCCAGGGGTAGGTATGTAGTATTTATCATTAACCTACATTTTCATCTATTCTAAAGAATGCAATTTTCAGTATTTCAACAGCTTTGAAGTTGAAGTGCTTCCCAAACCTAACAAATCAATTTAATCCACAGCTTTACTTCCAGCTTTACTTGAGCTGGGAATTCAAACTCAGGGTGTTAGGCTTGGCAGCTGTGCGTTAGCAACTCCCCAGCCCGGTTCTTTTTTCTTACACACACCTATGAGACACTACTGGAGTCAAGACCATTCCCCCTCCTTAGACAATAAGCCGCTCCGCTGCTGCCTGCAAATGCTCTGATAAACAGAAAGTTGAACATCTGCCAGCTGCCCTTGAAAGCACCATTTTGGAAGAGAAAGGGAAAAACTCCCCAAACAATCATTTTGTAGAAAACATAAGAAACAGTCTGCTTCACAGAAATGCCAGTTTTCCCTCCTGCTTTTCTAAAGCGTTTTCAAGGTCTTATTTTCTGAAGTTATGGGGCTGACAGGGTACATTTCACCCAAAAAGTGCCACTGCAGAAATCCAAACTTTACAAAGTCTATTTTATATCAATCTTTGGTCTGCTTAATTAGAAAATGTTCTACAGGAATACACTTCTATCATATGGACACAAACGAAAGCTTCCCTTTTGTTCCCCAAATAAACAAAATTTCAAAGGAATGAATTTACTTTCACAATCTGCCCAGGCCTAAATTCCATCCAACTAATCAACCTCAACTTTGAAAACAAGCCTGAAAGAGAAACTAGCTGGGTGTGGCTCTTGGGTTTCACAGCTTTTCTACTTAACTGAAGAGTGATACAATTTATAAATACCTTAAACATAGGAGTCTCAACATGTGTGGAGGGGTAACCGTTATCAACACATAAAACACTCAGTTTTACACCAGGATGTAGTGTAAGTCATCATTATGTGGAAATACGACAATATGTTGTTTAATCCTTTTAATGTGAAAAATGGCTCTTTAATGTTTGGGCTAACATTATTTTCATTTTATTTTATTTGATGGGGTCTCACTATGTAACCCTGGCTGGTCTGGAACTTGCTATGTAGACCACACAGTGTTGAATTCAAAGAGATCCCCTTGCCTATGCCTTCTGAGTGCTAGGAATAGCCAGAGCTCAGGCTCACTTTTAATCTAACAAGATCTTAATCTGGGGTGGGGGAGCGAGGTGAGAGGACGAGAAATCCGTCTAGGACTTCTTTTTACTCAGGTCCCTACAAATAAAGTGAAAGGCTATTAAAAATGTCAATTAACGGAAGGGGCCAGAGTTTATCTTTTTAAAACATTTTATTCCCGAGTTCAAATTTCTAACTCACCACTTGAAGTGAGTCGTTCATATACTTCACTTTCTGTGACCTGAAAATAACTTCAGAAAACAGAAGCTTCATCGGCAATACCAAAAACCAGAAATAGAACTTAATCCTTTTTCAACTTGCCACCAAACTGAAAGCTTTCTGGGGTCATGTCTCTATTTTAGAAGCACGCGTACTTCCTAAAATGTTGTAGTGAGAAAGTTACAGCAGTCTGGCACAGGCAAGCTCAGCAATGCTTTTAGTTACTGTTGCCCTAAGCAGTGGCACTAAGGACAGCGGCCTAGGGTGCAAGAAGTTCATCACTTCAGGCGCGATGCTTTTCCAATTTAGCCACTGAATTCAAGCTCCGTCGGTTCTCATCGGGAGGGTGTAACGCAGGCTCCCCACTCCCGACCGCAGCTAGCGCTTCCCGCCTTTCCGGTAACCCGCAAACCCGGAAGTGACACTCACCGGGGACGACAGCGGCAGCCCGGGGAGGCTGGGCCATGGTCTCCCTGAGCTGGAACCCCGCGAGCACCCAGCCAGCAGCCGAGCGCCACAGTCACAGGTGACCCGGCAGGCGACCTCACGTGACCGCCGGGCGCGTCCTCCCCCCCCCTCTGTCCCCGAGGCCCGCGATCGGGGACCCCGCTCACCTGAACCCCCACGTGGGCAGCAGACTCTGGCGGAGGTGCGCGCGCAGATGGCCGAGCGTCGGCTCCGGCTCCGGCACCTCCAGCGGCTGGGTCCGCTTCTGAAGCCGCACGCGCAGCTTCATGGCGACAGGACCGCCAGCCTCGGGCGGCGGCAGCGGCTACCGGAGCGGAGGAGAAACCGAAAGCGTTCGCCTCGCTCGCTCTCGACTACGCCCCCTACTGCCCAGTACGCGAGCGGAGCGCCGAGCGCCTTCGCTTCCTTCCCATCGGTGGCTCGGCGCACGACGGCGCCCCCTGGGGGCGAGATGCCCACGGCGCAGGCGCTGAGTCGCTTAGGCGCGTCGATAACCTGTGCGCTTCCCTGCTTGCAGGATCTCTGCAAGGACCGCTGCCCACTGTGCGAGGACCTGACTGCCAGTTCTAACCTGGTGGCGCTGTGTTTTTGCAGGCCCCGAAATGAACTGCTCTATCCCAGTCTTTAGAGCGCTCAAACCTGACACAGGTTTCCTGTGCTGTCTAAAGAACCTTAGCATGGAAGCTGGCATCCCTTAAGGACCTTTGACCTTTGGGTCTGAGTGTCTGGGCGACCTTAGTGGCCTTCAGGTGAGATAAGAATAGGATAATGGGCTGTGAGGTGTTATTAGCAGCTGCCTTTGTTTCTGTAAAACTTGCTTATAGCTGTGGTCTTTTTATTACTATATAGTGGGAAAGTAAGACAAACTGGGGGAAGTAAAACAATTTTCCCGCCCAGCTGTAAGTTCCATGAATGATAGTAATGCCCACCTTTCTGACGTCAGTTTTAAAATCCCACCTTTACCCCCTTTCCACACACAGGCTGTTTTAGCTCTATGGCTGCCGTCCTACTAGCCCCAAGAACACATTCATTTAATATAAATTTGAACTGAGCCTACGTCTTCGGTTTCTCCCAGAGCATTCAAACTCACATCAACAGTATAGCTCTTCACTCCCAGGGCAAATCCTGGTAAACCAACCTGCCTCCATCTTAGGTCTGAAAGCCATCTTATAGTAAAGACAAACTAGGCTCATTCTTGTTTATGATTAAATCTCTGTTTCTCGAGGATTAGGATATGTCCCTACCTGTAACCGTAACTATAACTGGTTCTATACTGCCTGTGCCAGGACTTGCAATCATGTCTTTGTTTCAGAGGGTTATTATGACCACTTGCAACCATTTTGTTGTTGTTGTTGTTTAAGAAGGTTTTTTTTTTTTTTTTACGCAATACAGTCTTTATTGTTTAAGAAGGTTGTTATGGCCAGCGTGTTATCCCTGTGTTCTCTTCCTATAACCCCACCTGCTTGCCTGCCAAATCCCCCATTTGGAAAGCCCCTCCTCCCTAACAACCTTTGTCTTACCCATGTCCAATGCTGGTCTCTTGAACCTTGCCTTTAGGGGGAGATATTCTTGTACAGGAACCAAAAAAAAAACTTGTTTTAATTAATTTGGCCATCATGATTTAGACTGGTGGTTTTTCCTCCACCACAGAAAAAAAATTAACTTTTTTTCTGTGGAATTAACAATCCCTGCCCCATTTCTTCCTTGGCACTGCTCCTAGGAACTTGAAGTTGAAGCCACTTTCTTTACCTCCCTCAAGCTTCAGCAAAATTTAAAGCAGCTTGTAGTTGCTGGTCTTTGTTGCACAGTGTCTTGTCTTGATGCCTAACAATTGCCCCCCAAAGCTTACTAGCCTACATCAATAAAACATTCGTTTCTCCATAGGTTCTGTAGATTGGGAACTTGGAGGTAGTATGGATAGGTGGTTCTGTCTCGGGCTCTCCTGCCAGGTCTGCCTGAAGATTCAACTACAAGCATTATTCAACCTATTGCCTCAGTTTTTCAGAGATCTGCTTGCATGTACACATAACATGACAGCTGGATTCCCTCAGAGTAAGTGACCCAAGAATAACCAAGACAGAAGCTATGAATAAGTCTTTTATGACCCAGCCTCAAAAGTAACAGGTTTTTTTCTATCTTTTTTTTTTTTGGCTACAAGCCAACATTTCAGTATAAGAATATCAAACCAAAAGCATGAATATTGAATATATCTGATATATATATAGATATATAGATATATAGATATATAGATATATATCTTGGTTTGAGACTGACTGTAATAGAAAACCAATTTTTATGAAAGAGATAGTCTTTGCCTAGGCAAAGGGTTTAAGACAAATTCTAGAATACATGAGAAGCCATTGAAGAGTTGTAAGGGAGTCTTTACTATCAAGGTCTTCAATTCTGGCCAATGGAAATTGACTCTGGGCAACTACCCAGGAAGGGATGAATTAAAAGGATACTATATGGCCCAAGGGATTTAGGGAGAATTGGAGAAAACTCATAACCACACCTAAGACCTTGCCTGATAAGGAAGGTACCAAAGTTGGGACTACCTGAGGAAACTGTTGTCACCACTGCTAGAGAACACAGGGGTGTGGCTGACGCTGTCTCTGCTATCACCAGACACCTTGTGATTTTTTTGTTTTGTTTTTGTTTGTTTGCTTTTTCCTGCACCAACAAATGACACTTCTAAAAAAGATTCTGTTTTCTCACTTTTCTTTCTAATCAAGAGTTTATAGGGGTGTGCTCTAAGGAATTTTGGGCCCCATCCCTGAATCCTGACCACAAAAGAGACTGAAGATCAGAATCTGACTTTCTTTAGGGGGGCAGAGCTTATTAGAATTTCCCAGAAGCATAAGGAAGGCTGTCCAAATATTGATAGGAAACCCTGAATTTGACAGGTGCACTCTAGGGCCGCGCTCTGACCTTTAGTGTGTGATTTCCCATAAAAAGGTACAGGGGGAGGGGAGCTTGACACCCTCTAGGGCTATAGAGATATCTCAGTGGTTAAGAGGACGGACTGCTCTTCTGAGGGACTTGGATTTAATGTTCAGCATCCACATGGCAGCTCACAGCAATCTGTAACTCCAGTTCCAGAGGATCCAATGTGCCCTTCTGGCTTCTGTGGACACCAGAAAACTATATAGTCCACAGATATGCAGACAAAACACTAATACACATAAAATTTTTAAAAACTTTAAAATAGGGGCTGTTTTCCAACTCATTGCAGGTGGGGGTATCTGTATAGATTGTTCAGACTTAGGCTGAGGACATAGTTCAGTTGGTAAATGTTAGGTCCAAAGGAAAACCACAAGCACCCCCAAAAGAGCAGGCCTATTGACTTGGTCGAAAATGATCATCTTGACTCATGAGGCTCATGCTGGCTTAGCAATCATAGGATTGCTGGCAGTTACTTTCAGCATTCCTCAGGAACTTGTGAAACAGGTTTCTATATGCCAAAATGAGTCATTTCCATTATGGTCCCTTGACTCTGGCAAGGGAACAAATGGCTCTCCATTTGTCTGGCCACATTAACTTGTGGTTGCATATCAAAGCCCACGCTGTCCTTCTGTCTCCTTGAGTCCCTGTCCACACACACTTGCTATGCATTTAAAAACCCACACTAGCATCCTGGAATGCTGTGGGCTAATGTTCTTGTACACTGTAAAGATTTGTCGCTTGTATTGATTTAATAAAATGCTGATTGGCCAATGGCCAGGCAGGAAGTATAGGCAGGGCAACTGGACTAGTCAAATTCTGGAAAGAGGAAAGGCAGAGATGCAGTCACCTGACAGATGCAGAGAAAGCAAGATGAGAATGCTTCACTGAGAAAATGTACCAAGCCACGTGACTAAACATAGACAAGGATTATGGGTTAATTTAAGTTGTAAGAGCTAGTTAATAATAAGCCTAAGCTAATAGAACAAACAGTTTATAATTAATATAAGCCTCTGTGTGTTTCTTTGGGACTGAACAGCTGAGGGACCAGGTGGGACAGAAATTTCCATCTACACTAGCCCTTCTCACTATGTCTTCTACCCTAACGTCCCAGACTGCTCCAGTTCAAAAGCTTCCCTCACCAAAACTACTCATCCTCCATATAACCCACATGGTTTTTCCATGCTCCACTTTCGTAGCCCTGGCCATGTCCCATCTACTTCTTTTTTCTCTGCTTTGGACTCTTCCAAATGTCTCTGGATATTCTGTCTCTCTTATTCACAATGAAAAGCCTTCCCCCAGTCATGGAGCAGCCATTTCAGTGGTTTTTTTCCTGTGCCCTCACTTACAGTAAAGTGCTTGCCACACATTCACAAAGCCCCATGTTTGATCAATAGCATCTCACAATCTAAGTATAATGGTGCATGCCTATAGTCCCAGCACTTGGGAGATGTAGGAAAATCAAGAGTTCAAGGTCATCCCTGGCTACTTAGCAAGCCCCATCAGTCTGGGTTGCATGATCCTGACGTAAATAGTAGCCAGGCATAGTGTTGCATGCCTTTAATCCCAGCACTCAGGAAGCAGCAGCAGGATCACCTTTGTGAGTTCAAGGCCAGCCTAATCTACATTCCAGACCAGCAAAAACTACATAGTAAGCTCATATCTCAAAAATCAATCAATAATTAAATTTGTTCTGGTTTGGTCTACATTGCACATTTGTTTATTTTTTCATCCAGTCAATTATATTAGTGTAAATTAAATGCTTACTTTACATTATTTATCATAGTCTAAAACTAATTCTTCATTGCTGCCGCTGCTGCTGCCCAGCTCTGTCCACCGGAAGACGAGTCTTCTATTGGTTCTTGTATTCATTTTTCATCTCTGTATTTTTTCATTCATTTGTTTTATTCAATTCCATTTTTGAGTGTTTTCTTATTTCCTGTAGCTATGAGATACAATGGGATAATTTTGTGTATTTTCTGCCCCAGGACCAAAACTAGCAATTTGTTTTTCTAAGAATCCCTCCTACTTCCATTTTTTTGGAGAATGGTATTTGACGCCAAGGTCTGGGTGATAATTATAGTCACTGTTAATGGAGCGTCTTTGCTTCTAAGCCTTCCTGGCTAACTGAGCAAGGTTATATCTTATTTCCATAATAGAATATGTATTTTTATATGTAACCAGACATATTGTGATAGATCCAACTCTGATCCATTCACATGGGAATCACAGCCTCCTGCCGTAGCCAGTGTAGCACAGGCTAAAACTTGTAGTTCCTGGCAGAGCAGAGCAATGGCACATGCACGGGTCACACCGCCTCTGGGTTTCTTTTACTTAGAAGAGAAAACAGCTTTCTTTTCCAGTTTGCTGTATTTAAAGGGTAGAGTGGGGTTACTGCACTTCTGGGAGTATCGGGCTTTCTTCACTAGAGTTTTAGCAGTCATAGCTACCTGAGGCACTTTCCT